CGTAGGATTTGCACCAAAGCTAGCTGGATTTAAACGACATGCAGACTTAGCGCCTTTAGCGTCAACGCATAACTTTTGAACTCGTCCTCCGTAGTGCGTCGCAACCCTCCGTACCCATGATCATTGATGAGCCCGCCATAGCCTGTGAGAAAGCCTCAATGCAGTCATCGTGGGCGTTGATGACTTGGTCATCTGTAGGTTGGACAACCGGGCAATACCTGGAATAAGGCCAGCCAGTGAGCCAGCTGGCCAGCCCATCGAAGGACGGAAAAGGAGCACTGCGAAACGCGGTCCTGCCGATCGTGAGCATTGGCGTTGACCGTCCGTTGTCAGAGAACCCACGACGAATCCTGGGCGTGACGTGAGATGGCTGTCGTGTTACGTGTAGCGGTAGCGGTCCTGTGGCCCCCATCTCCTATTCTAGGCCCGATTCGAGATGGCTGCCAAGGGAAGCGAGGCAGAACCTTGAGGCTTGAGTGCGGCTTGCAACAAATGTCAAAGGGACCGTGATGCCGACCCCGACGGCACATGAGGCACGGCGAGAGGGTCGTCATTGGCATGCAGGGTTCTGACTTTCCGACCGGCCGTTTACAGTTGATTTGATTTGATGTGTGCAACCACCTGATATCATGGGATTGTTGGCACTAATTATACCTCTGGATGGGGGCTTTGGTGAGACATCCGCCGACTGGCTTGTTCGTACCGTAGGGTAGCGCCGCGCAAGCGCTGCACTCTGATGATGACGAGCCTTCCCCCATCGTAGCATCGAAGTATCGAAGAACCCGATCAACGAACCGAAGCCAATGCTGCCAATCCATGATCCAGCCTCGGCTCGACGCCTCCGCTCCGCCGCGTCCCCATCCAGGCGTCCGCTACAGTGGCTGCGCGCCAATGACTAGGGCCTGTGGCGGCCGGGCAGTGGACCAGGTACTTTAACCTTACTTGCGTGTGCGTGCTGGCTTGTCTTGGCTCTCGGGCGTTTGCCCGTAACCCATTCCGCTGAGCTGAGAGCGCTGATGCGACGCTGCCACGGCCAGCGCCAGCGCCATCACATGAGCTGATAGTAATTAAAAGAATCCAAGCTCTGACTTGGGATCGGCACGCGGTTGGCGGCCACGCTCGGCCAATTCTCCAGCATCAGCCACGTTGCCTGCTACCACCTAATTACAATTTACCACGGACGCACGCACGAGGTGAACAATTGCGCGTGTTGTTGGTCGCTGCGAGCGGCATCACATGCATTTGGCTTGACGCGCGATCCAGCGTCGAAATCGAAACGGCAGCTGTCGGGCGACAGGCGACCCCGTTAACGCCGGCTAGCAGCGCCTCGCCCGCTCGCTCTCCTCCGACGGCCTGACCCGGCCTTCCGGTTCGTGACAGCGCACACATGCCCACCATCAGCAGCAGCAGCAGCAGCAATCTTGCTTTGCAATGGAGCCCGTTGCCAGAACCAGAAGCACGAGCATATGTCGTCGCGATGCTACGCTATGCCGCAATGCCACACGACGGCTGGGCCCATTGAGCATGAAGCGAATCGCTTGACACGGTTCCGCATCTTCGGAATCCGGAAACGTGAGAGACAGCGTGCGTGCGTGCGTGGAGGCCATGCCATGCCATGCCGTGCATCATTCGCGTGCTGCGCTGCCCCCGCTTTCAGGATGCAGTTCAATGAATCAATCAGATTGGCAACGGGTAAAAAGGAGATGCCACGTTGACCTGCGACTCAGTTGAGACAATGGCGAGCGTGGACGTGCGTGTCGCAGAATGCCTTGCGCTGACGACTACACCTCCCTCGGGTAGGCAGATTGCTGGTCAAACACGTGTGTCTGTCTCAGCCGTTCTCTGACCGCCAGATGGCTGTCCAGTCCTTTCACAGAAGCGACTGATCGTCGTCGTAGGCGACAAGGCAGTGTCTGAGCACATGACGCGACGACGAGAATATGAGACGAGAGTGGCGCGCTGCTCGTCGTTCACAGCATGTTGAATACCGGAAATTAACAGTTTCATGAGGTTCAGCTCGCCCATCTGATCATGACGATGGCACGATGTGAGGCAATGGCTGCATCTGCCTTGGAGTGGGAGCCGCTCAGCCACGTGTCTTGCGGCGCGCGCCCTGCTGTAACGTATCATATACCCAGACCTTTGGGAACTCCAGTCAAGTCTCTGCGAGTATACTGGCCACTTCCATCCAAGCCAGGCACCAAGTATAGCACCTCGCACAAGATGCGGCTGGCGGCATCGTCGAAACGCGATTCGGGGCTCTCTAGCCTCGCCCTGGTTCCATCCAGCCCTGGGAACACCGAGCCTTACCGCAGCTGAGCCTTGTGCTCGCGCGACAGGATGTCTGAAGGCAGAGGTCGGGTCTTGGACCTCGTGACTCCATGTCGTTGAGTCACAGAGTTGATGGCGACGCTTCATGTCGATCCGCGAGCAGTAAGATGAACCTTGGAACGCGACGCTCAGCAATCCACCTGCACCGCCATGCCATGTCTGCGCCGCTTGTGCCACCCGGGCTTTCGCTGGCATCATTTTCCAGCAATATCCGACCGAGCATGGGAGCCCTCGAAACGACTGTCCTTGACCTTGTTCCGCCATTACATGGACCTGTGCTGGCCTCCTTGTGATGCACGGTTCGAGGGACTGGATGAAATGGGCCAGCCCGCGCCAGTTCGCGCATGCGCGTGGTAACACGGCGGTGGTTGTTCCCGTCTCGGAAGAGCGACAGCCTTGTACGCCAGATGGAACAGGACTCGAGGCTTCAAAGGAGACGGACGGATGAAAGGCTCCTTTTGCTGAGCGCCCCAAGCCAGCATGTCGCACAATGCATCTCCGAAAGGGCTGCCACCGCGATAGCACTCGCGGTCCGTCTCATGTCTGTCTGCCATTCCAAGGTAATCAATGAGTTGTGCGATGGACTTTTGCCGCCCAATGCACGCTGTTCTGGCCAAAAAGGACATGCGCCTGTGCCTCAGTGAGACTGAGCCCCCCGAACGCGAGACAAAATCAAGCCGGCGAGGGAACGCTCTCCATTCACAGTGATAGGTGATATGTGCACAACGAGACAATCCGCCGAAATACCAACTGGCGTATGTCTACGTGCACGCAGCGCCCGGCGCCCGTTGGCGCTTACCTACCGGTGACCAGCGACGCGCTCCGGAGGCACAGCGTGCCCAGGCTGACAATTCACTGGCTGGCGATGGATTCGCACGGGCGCTCCTCTTCGGCGCGTGCTCCCAACTCGGGCATGATCCAGCGCAACGATGGACGTGCGCCGCAATGAAGTGCAATGGATGACGCGAGGAATACTCCGTGGCCCCCAAATGAAACAAACTGTCATCACCAGAGACGGCTGCAGATCCCATATTCGTAAGAAGGAAGAACAGATCACGCATCAGGGAAACGGGAGGCGCCGTCGAGCATGCAAGCCTTTCTTTAAAAAGAGCCCGCCACGCGTTGCACTGCACCACGTCGTACGGTTCTCTCGCCTTTCTGTTATGACGCAGATTGTGAGCGTCGATAGCAGAGCCTGGAAGAGGTGAAGAAAGCTATTTGATCTTTTGACTCAATTCAATCCGCTTCTGCTTCTTGTACCTTTATTCTAGCCCCCCTATCTGTTGACCATCAGAAAACATCATCACCATGTCTGAGACGACGAGAGCGACGAGCTCGCAGGGGCCAAGTCCCGTCGAAAATGAGGAGACGACTCTCACCACCCATCCCAGAGCCGGCATGGCCCCGTGGAAATGGAAGGGCGCCATGGCCGTATTTCTGCTCACAAGTGCCATCAGCGGTAGGTTCAGTCTACCTCTGCAAATGCCAGCCTCGTGCTCACTCTCTTCACCCAGGCTACGATGTCAGCAACGTGGCCAACATCCAGCCCCAGATGTACGCGGCCTTTGGCAATATTGAGCTCCTCCCCTGGATCGGCCTATCGTACTCCCTCGCCAACATGGCCGTGCTGTCCTACGCGCGCAAGATCATCTACTGCTTCAACCTCAAGACCACCTACCTCATCCACCTGGCCATCTTCGCGGCGGGTGCGGCGGTGGCAGGTGCGGCATCCAACATCACCACGGTCATTGTCGGGCGTGTGATCATGGGCATCGGTGGCTCGGTGATTCAGCAAACGTACGTGTCCCTTGCGTGATAGAACTGACCCCTCTGGCTAACGAGTCTAGTAACATGACGTTCATCGCGGTATTTGCGACCGCGGAGGAGTCGACTGGCGCATTCGGTCTGATCTCTGCCATGTGGGCTACTGGCCTAGTCATCGGCGGGCCCATTGGCAGTGCCTTTGCCGAGAACCAGTCGGCTACGTGGCGCTGGGCCTTCTACTTCAACCTCCCACTCGTCGGTGCCGCCTTTATCGGGGCCCTGCTCTCCGTGCAGTCGCATTCACTCGCGCCCAAGACATCCATCTTGCAGCGTCTGCTCAAGATTGATCCATCGGGCGTCGCTCTCAACGCGGCCGCACCGGTCCTGCTCGCGATTGCAATCACCTTCTCCGGCCCGATCTGGGACTGGGGCTCAGCGTCGTCCACTGCCCTCTGGGTGATTTCTATCCTGACCACAATTGTCTGGGGCTTGCAGCAATACTTTTGCATCCTCACCACCCGCGAAGAGCGTGCATTCCCCATGCACATGCTCAGACGGCTCGATCTCATCCCCCTGTGGTTGGCCGCTGGCTGTGCCGGCGCTGCCTACGCTGTGACACTCTACTACACACCGCTCTACTTCGCCTTTGCACGAGGCCATGACGCCCTCGAGCAGACGGAGCGTATCCTCCCCTTCGTCATTGTATTTATCTTCGTCGTCCTGCTCACAGGTGGCGTTCTCCTACCACGCGTCGGCTTCTACAAGATCATCTTCATCCTAGCGGGCATCTTCACCACAGCAGGCGCAGCCGCCATGGCCGCCACCATTTCCGACTTGTCCACGTCGGAGGCGCAGGTCATGGGTCTCGAGGCCCTCATCGGCATCGGTCTAGGCATGCACTTTCAGCACTCGCAGGGCGTCTCCAACGTCATCAACAAGAACACGCGCGACAGGGTCGATAGCTCTGTGATCTGCAATCTCACCCAGATGACGGGCATCGCCATGATCCTCGCGGTAGCGGGGGCCATCTACCAAAATGTCGGCTTCGATCTGCTTCAGGACGCCATCAACCAGGACGGCGCCTTTACTGAGCATGAGGTGCGTGAGGCGTTGGCTGGTGTGTCGTCCAGCGTCTGGCGCTCGGATGACGCGGAGGCGCGCATGCGTGGTGTCGAGGCTGTGGTGCAGGTGATTGCGGATGAGTTTTACATTGTTATTGGCAGTGGTGCGATTTGCTTGCTGTGTGGTGTCTTGATGAAATGGGAGCGCTTGGACTACGGCAAGACGCCAAAGGCTGCGTCGAGTGATGAAAAGGGGCCTGCGACAGTGTGAAGAATGCGATGATCATTATACAGTTGGATAGACATCCCCTATTGCTGCATCCGCCCCAGCAGCGACGCGTAGAACCTCCCCAACGCCGGACATATCGTGGAACGGATCCTAGGCCGCCACCATGGGTGTGGTTAAAGGCCATTTTGTCCAGCAACATTACCTCCTTGCCTGGTGAGGCGCTGGGTCAGTGTTAGGGCGAGGAAGCGGGCGCACGAGTTGCCCATGACGAAATAGGGGACGTTTTTTTGCGCCGCGAGGGTTTCAGGAGGAAGAAGGTGTGCCAGGGGAGGATTTAAGAGACTATGGACCTCATCTTGGTCTTCTCTGTTGTACTTGGCTGGTAGGAGGACTTGAAGCACAGCGAGGGAAAGTATTGACGAAGAATCCCTCCAAGATGTCCAAATACCGTGACCGTGGATGGATGGATAGTCCAGACGTCAGTCGAGTCTGTTGAGTCTGCTCCACAAGTCTCAGACTCGGATGCCCGATTCGGAAATCGGAGGCTGCGAGGCGGGCCTCTTATTCGACAGAAGACGAGATGCTCACGAGATATTAATATTGTCGAGATTGTGTGCTAGGTGGCGATGATGTATTGACTAACGATCTGCAATACTTGGATTTATATTTCCTTTCGTCTCATACGAGAATAGGCGTCCTAAATTCCACACTCTCTTGGAGAAGAGCAAATACTAGACTAGACGTATCTATCCACGCACTGGTTCATTGAAATACGCTCCAGTTGGTTCGATATCGCGTGACAACAATGTGCGCTTGACGACGCTAGCCACGGCTTCCTTTAACTAGCGGTCCTTCTTATTAGGGTCGGTGAGATGGAGGAGCCGTCTCCAGACCTCGACGTCGTTCGTATCATCCTTGTTGTCCGGGTAAACCAGTGCGAAGGATGGGATCTTCTCTAGAACGAGGTAGTGGCCCTTCTTCCAGGCCTTGATGGCTGTGGCGATGTTCTGGCGGAAGGAGTGGATATGACAAATGCGTACGGCTTCGTCATTGAGGTCATGTCGAACTTTGAGGATTCGAGAAAGGGCCTTCTTTAGACCAAAGTCGAAATATATAGCATCCGAGAGCCCAGATATCACTCGCCGAAGTAGCTACGAGTCCAAATTCAACTTTAGGCGCAAAGGAATCGAGGCTACACATATTTATATAGATCTCTGTCGACCCCTATGACTCTCCGTAGGCAAAGAAATTAAAAACAAAAGAGAGAAGAAGGGCAGCCACTGCCGATAGCACAAGGTGCCTCCATATCCTGCCCGTCACAAAGGCTGGCGTATGTATAGCCGCGTCCTCGACGGGCGCCGTAGTCTGCGTGGTAGCGGTATCCCGAGTCTCTGTCTCTATCGGCGTATTCGTCCGGGCTGAGCTCGGGCTGCGGGAACGAGCCCCGGCTTCGAGTAGTAGCTGCTCGACGCCACGACGCCCGTTCTTCTGTGCCGCACAGAGCGCCGTCCCGTACTCGCCGACCTGGGCTTGAAGATGCATATCAGCCCCGGCCGCGAGTAGGATCTGTACCGTCTCTATATTTTTTTTCTCCGACGCCGCCGCCGCGCAGAGCGCCGTCCCGAAGTCGCCGACCTGGGCCTGGAGATTTACATCAGCCCCGGCCGCGAGCAGGATCTGTACCGTCTCTGTGTTGCCCTCCGGCCCCGCCGCGGCCGCACAGAGCGCCGTCCCGAACAAGCCGACCTTAGCCTGCTGATGTATATCAGCCCCGGCCGCGAGTAGGATCTGTACCGTCTCTATATTGTTTTCCCACGACGACGCCGCCGCACAGATCGCCGTCCCGAGGTAGCCGACCTTAGCCTGGAGATTTATATTAGCCCCAACCGCGAGCAGTATCTATACTATCTCTATATAACCTCTTACCGCCGCCGCACAAAGCGCCGTCCCGAAGAAGCCGACCTTAACCTAGAGATTTATATTAGCCCCAGCCGCGAGGAGGACCTGTATTATCTCTGTGTTGCCCTCCGCCGCGGCCGCACAGAGCGCCGTCCCGAAGTCGCCGACCTGGGCCTGGAGATATATATCAGCCCCGGCCGCGAGCAGGATCTATACCGTCTCTGTGTTGCCCTCCGGCCCCGCCGCGGCCGCACAAAGCGCCGTCCCGTAGCGGCCGACCTAGGTCTATGCGTTAAGATCAACCTTGCTCCGAAGCTGCTCTGTCGCTAGCACAATCCGTGCCAGGTTGCTATAGCCAAAAAAAGACAAGATATAGAGAAGGTCTGTGTCCACATTCTCCCTTATATGTATCCTCTTGTCGCCCGCAGTAGCCCGGACGAACCCTACCCACCATTCGAGCCACGTCGCCTGCTTCTCGAGCCATGAGACCACTGCCTTTAGCGAATCTATATTGATAGCACGTGCCAATTCCTTATCCGCATGGGTAAAGATGTAGCGGGTGGCGTAGCGGAGAAACGAGTAGTCATGCTGGAGCTGGGTGAGCGACTCTGGGCTTGGCTGTCGTTGGAGTGGCTTAACGTCGTTCTGATCCCATGCCATATATTGCTCCATGCAGCGCTAGCAGATAGCCCAAAGCCGGCCATAAGTCGCGCTGATAGGGTCGGGACCGAGAGTCGGGTCGAGCTGGCTAAGCCGGCCCTGGCGGAAAAGGAAGTCGTTGACGGTTAGGTGGATGAACTGGACCTGAAGTCGCTGGTCATCGTCGCCACTACTGCGTAGCGAGTCTAAGTACATTGTATAGCGAAGCCTCGGCTTCCGCACTTCAATAAGGCCTCGCGAGGCTAAGATAATCCGTCGACGCATATCATCCGACGTTCGCTGGTGCTGCGTCGGGGCCTCCTTCTTGCCTATAGCCCATGTTATAGCATAGTAGAGCTCGTCGAGGAAGAGTAGCCGCTAGCTAAACAATACCCACTGTAGCGCCAGTAACGTCTCCTCTCGGTTTCCCCCTTCCCGGCTCACCAGAGCCTCGAAAATCTACTCGAGATTGTCTGGCATAGACTAAAGGACTATCCACATTGCCTTAATCTTACCGTCGTCGTACGCAATATTAAGTTACCCAACTACCAGCACCACCCATAGGAAGACACCATTTGCCCTACGCTAAACTGCAGCCTTAAGGTCCGCGTTGTCTCCTAGGAGCGTATCGCTAATATAGGCAGCAATATCCTCGCTATGCCCGTCTACGGTATCCACGACGGACCTCTAGGTGCTTCTTTATTATGATTAAAGGGTAATAACGGCTCGATAGGCATACCCTGAGCGTGATATTAGCTTGCGCAGCGCAGCTACTTAGCGTCTCGAGCGCTTTCACGACAGTACGAGCGCCGTCGTCGGAGCACTCATTAAGGGCATCGACTAGCAGGAGCAACGGCCGTCTAACCGCACCTCCGTTCTGCGTCCCTTGCCATCTAATCACCTCAATAAGAAAGTCGCGGAGCTCGGAGAACGACCAATCGTATGCCTTTGGAAGGCCCATAGTGCGGCCTCCGAGTCCCGCCTCCATCTCGTGACCATTCAGGCGCGTCTTGTCATCGTAGCGCGGCACGAAGAGTGTGTAGACGGCGTCGTCGTGCTTAACAAGCTCGTAGACGATCGACCTGAGCATGCCTAGGGGCGACTTCTCAAGCGCGTCGCCCCGCGCATTAAAGAAGTACGCGGCGATCAAGTGGTCGGGGAAGTAGTCCTAGCAGTAGTAGAGGGCATGCTTCATCAGCGTGGACTTGCCGGCGCCGGGCTTGCCCTTGAGCCAGAGCACGCCGTTGTAGTCGTCGAGGCGGTCGCGACGGCACCATTCGCTAAACTCGGGGGTAGCAAAGAGCCACGCGCAGGTGCCGGTGAGGGCAGGCTCGATGTCGTGCCGGCGGGCGCCGAGTTGGGTAAAGGCGAGCGAGCGCAGACAATCTAGACGGCGTCAGAAGGTGTAGTCCAGAATGTACCGCAGTTGGTGCCATCAAATGACATACTTTTTTTCTTGTCTTGGTGGGCGGTTTTCCTATCTATAGTTCCTTCTTGAGCTGTTGAACATGTAAATAATACTGATCATTCAATGTAACAAGGGAACTCGTAACTGACTAGAAAACTTGGCTGGTCCAACGAAATTCTGTTGGACCGCAGTGGTATTGTTGTTCTGTGGGCTAAATTCGTGGTTGGCGATGTCCAAGCCGCCTTGGTAGGATGATGGCTGAACGGCTTTGTCTGTTTGTAAATAGCGCTCAAGAACGGCCTTAGAGACTAAAGCGGCCGTTGCTGCCGCATAATCCTGCCAGTCCTTGTTCTTTTGGCTGTCCGCGTAGTCGCACACCCCTTTAATCACGATACAGGGGACCTCGTCCCAGACGCCCGCTCCCTCCATCTCAAATCCGATCGCCTTAGTCTCCTTAAAGATCTTGTTCCGATGGGTAGCCGACCGAAGGACCAAGTCGCCCGAAGCAATGACCCCTGTATGCACGTGGACAGCAGGGCCAGGGGATTGTGTTGAGATTTGGGCCCGAGGGCAGTCGTACTTCCCGGACCGTTTAAGAGGCAGGTTTTGCTGCAATCCTTGCAGTATTTGCGCAGATCGTTCCTCAAGCGTATCGAGCCCACGATCTAATTCGAAGACTGCTACTAGATTTCGGATATCTTTATTCGGTCGGCCCAGGTTATCTTCGACGCTATCCTTGCGCACAAACTTATCGGGGTGCTGCCTGCCGAAGTCGTACTATACCACACTCTTACTAATAATAACGTCGCCTAGAGAGACAATTTAACCGTGCGTATCGTGAGGCATACCACCGCACACACCAACGACGAGTGCGAGTCGAATATTAACGTAGCTCGACCGCATACTTACAGCGGCACTAGCAGCGTTCGCTTTGCCCATGTGCGGCAACTAGGCCAAAACAATGTTATTGGCTCCCATACGGCCAGTAATATAGTGGTTCTGGTCGCCGTTGGCACGGCCGTATCGATCGCCACCTTCATCTTCGTCCCAGAACTCGTCGAAAGCAGCCTCGACAGCATTGCGCTCGCACAGCAGCGCGCAGATAATAGCGATCTCGAAGTCGTCGCGGCAGCTGGGCGCATGCGGTCTGTTCGGCATGATGCGACGGTGCCACAGCAGGTATCGCTATGCTTGGTCGAGGTGGTCTAACATGTGGAACAAGACTGTTGTGCTAGCTAGCTAAGCAATGAGCGAGGGGTCGGGTGCGGAGGTGCTGGTCTGTCCTAGCAAGCAATATCCCTGTCAGGATTGGTGCCAATATCGAGCAGCAATTGTAGCCTATGAGTGTTATAATGCCTAAGACAATACAGTTCACCCCTTAACCATTCGATCGTTCTTAAGGTGTGTCAATACCCTCGCCCTAGTAATAGTCAAGAATAAAGACTCTATCTTAATTTATTCTCAATTCCTTGCCAGCGCAGTCTATGTACTCTTTTTATAAACTTACAGGGGTTGGGTTATGTAGAGCTATCAAGAGATTCGCACTTTTGCACAGGCAGGCGTGCGTCCGCAGCGCTAAACCATAGACGTCTAACGTTAGATTCTGCCCCAGCGCTAGCGACTTTTTCGAGTCGACTGAGTGCGGCACAGCAGAAACCTGGTGATGCTGATGGTGGCTGGGCTGAGTGGCCACCTCAGCCAACCACAGGTGCATTCGGTCAGCCGACGAGGCTGCCGACAGGAGCCTGCCATCGAAGCTGACATGAATGGCGACTGGAGGACACTCCATGTAGCCGCGGAGACGACTGGACTTTGCGGTTGCCATGATTCAGGGCGGAAGACCATGGAAAACATCCTACCGATGGTGGCATAGTGTCGTCCGCAGACTCTACGGTGGACTCCGCACTAGCGAGCGGGCCGAACGTTAATTATTTATGTAAACGCCGTCGGACGCTGGCACCGGCTCCGGGGATGATGAGTAATCCATGAGGGCCTCCCAGCAGGTCAAGGTGCTATCCCTATGCAGGCAGGGGGGAGAAACTGCCGTTTCGAAACGCATTTCGAGAACGAGGCTGTCATACGCTGCGAAAATAGAACTACACGTGTGGCCCTTTTGAGCCCACGTATCGTATCTCGCAGTAAAAGCATTAAGTTTCAAGATCGAAGCAGTCTGCCTTCATTACAGTATTCCACTTCATTAATAGGTCCATGGTGATGCCATGCTCTTGGCAGAGGCTCTGAGTCTCCGACAGTCATCGCCATTTTTGACAAAGTGGAAGTTATCACATTCCTCGGCTGTGCCATCGCGGGTTGGGGACGGGACGTTAGCTGTGTTCCTTGCTTCTGGGCCTTTGGTAATAGTTGGCATGTTGTGACCCTCCACGGATACGCAGTAGTAGTATAAAGCTAAGAAACCGGAGTAGTCCTCCTCGACTATAGTGTTCTACTCTATTTAACTAGTCTATAAAGATTCTCTATTCTTTCCAGAGGCTCGCGTAGTCGTCGCCTATTATAATATAATTAGAATAAAAAGTATCACAGCCCTCGGTCGTACTATCGAGAGTTAGAGAAGAAATGTTACTAGTTAGCGTTTATATACCCCGTGCCCCTATAAAGCTATCGTGGCCCTCGACAGAAATATAGTAATAGTACTTTACTTATAAACCGGAATAATCTTACTCGATAATATTAGTCTACTATATAAGTTAATTTACTAGGATACCGTGCTTAGTACGTAAGCTTTATATCATATATCTAGCGACAACTAAGCCTCCCTAACGCCGGTCAGTTAGGGTAGGTCACTATATCTTCCTTTAGTCTTAATGCAGTTAAACATATCTATTTTCGTTAAATTACTGCGCTAAAGAACTAGGCCAGCCGTTGCGATTAGCTCCCCCGAGTGTATCTGATTTTCCCGAGCCTTGGGAAGCATATGGCATGGCGGCCGCTAATGAGCCCGTTCCCAGCTCAATGCGGCAAAGTCTCGTGACCATGGATCCATTCTATATGGACTATCCTGTTTTCCCCTTAGAAACATGTCCTGCCGGCACTTACAGTTGTACTCTAATTAAGTGTGTGCAGGACTGAGACTAGACTAGCCTCCCCCACCCCCGTATTCCCCCGCGTTTCCGCTCCACACTCGGATGATAGTCCCCCGAAGCTATTCGCAACTCAAACCCCTTTTCGGACAAACGCATCTCTTCAACAAGTCTAGAATCGGCGGGTGATTGAATCACCGCCGTTTGATCGCCGACCCCTCATAAAGCGTTGAGCCCGGGGAAAAGATGGGTTTCTCTGCATGAAACATGCCGTTTCAAGTCGCGTTACAACACGCGGCGTCGGCTTTCTTGCCTCGGCTTCTGGTCTTGGCTTTGCATATTTTAAACTTTCCCCACAATCGACTTCGCGACTCGATCTATTTTAGTACTGGCGCGTTTTGAGTAGTGAGTCGCGTGCAGCAACTTGGCCTCCAGCTAGGTACGTTTACTATGAGGCATTGTGGAATGCTGCATCTGGCAAAGTTTGAGAGATGGGGAGTCGGTGGGCTTTCGCTTTCATGACCCAAACTAGGCATGGTATCCAAAAGCAATCAGTGTCAGCTGTGGAAAGTAAGATTCTCGAAGCGGTAGACATTGAGAAGGGGATACAAGAAGAAAAGTATAAAGACGTGAACGCCTCCCGCCTTGGAGATGAGAAGCTCAGCAGCAACAGCCAGCCTTTGCAACTCTTCCAGCTTCTTCAGCATCAGCCCTCGAGTCTTCGTACTTCACTTCGTCTCTCTCGCTCAACGCCAAAGTCACCATGCAACTCTTGTCCATCCTCGCCTTGGCGTCTGCTGCCATCGCTGCTCCAGCTGGTGTCGCCGTACCGGCACCCATCGTCACGACAGAAGACGTCACTGCGAACCCAGAGTTCGCCGCTCGCCAGATTCTCCCCACAAGCGAGAACGGACTTACGCGCGGGTTGTCGAGGTGCGGCGATGTCGTGCTCATCTTTGCTCGTGGCTCCACAGAGGTCGGGAACATGGGCACGATCATCGGCCCTGACCTGGTCCGCGAGCTTGAGCGTCGTCTGGACGGCCGCGACTTGACCGTCCAGGGTGTCAACTACGATGCTGCTTTGGCTCCCAACTACCTTCCTGGCGGGACTGATCGGGAGTCGGAGGACGAAATGAAGTCGATGCTTCGTTTGGCCCACACAAAGTGCCCCGACGCTGACATTGTTGTGTCTGGCTACAGGTAATTCTGCCCGCCCACTCCCCCTGAGATGGCCATCAATCAGCTAACGCTCTCTCGCCATAGTCAAGGAGCAGCCGTCGTCCACCGCGGCGTGGAGGATATCGAAGAGGAGATCAAGGACAAGATCAAGGGCGCCGTCTGCTTTGGCGACACCCAATTCCGCAGGGATGACGGTCAGATCCCCAACTTTCCTCGCGACAGGTACAAGGTCTTCTGCGGCGGCCTTGTCCGCGACACGGTTTGCGATGGCAACTTGGCTGGCGCTGTTTTGGCTCCTCACCTTGGCTACGGTTCCGATGCGCCCGAGGCTGCCGACTTTCTGGCCTCTAAGCTCTGAAGCTCGAGTCTGAAGAAACACGAAAGAATATCAAAAGTCCTGCTCCTATGGCTGAGCCAAGGTGCGCGAGTTGAAAGAGGCGGGCGAGCATGTCTTTTACTGCTGGGACTACTGGTTAAGTGCTGGTTACTACAATACAACTGGAATTTCCCGTCCCTTTATCTGTTGGCTTGCGAGCCAGGATGTGAACTTGTCGTCACTTAGTGTTGATGCGCGTCTTCGCGTACGCAGTGCCCCAGAGAGACAGACGGTAGTTGATAGACACAGCGACAATAGACTTGTTTTCTTTTACCGATTGGTCGACAATCTTGCTGAGGTCAGGTTGTGCATGGGGTCGCGCGAGCCGCCTTGGACGTGGCTCTGTAAGCAATTTCAGCATGGCACATATGATACAATGATGATAAATCAGGTCTCTTTGAATGCTTCAGTCAGAGGTTCAGGTGCCTTGAAACTCAGAGTGCCGACAGGAGGCTGTGCGTAGGGCAGCCCAAGGCAGAAGTCTTGGGGATTACTCCTTGTTGTGCGCGCCCATGTAAGTACCATAGATCAGATTGACTTTAGGGGCGCATAAGGTCGCGCTTTTATGGCCTCTCCATAAAGATGCCTGCTTCGGCCTAATCAATCTCCAACTGCGTTCTATGGTGGCATGTGGAATGTACATTAGCGCTCATGTTTCTAACGTTAACCAAACCACGCGTTTGTACCAGTATCCGTATGCGTGGGTGGACAGAAACTGATTTTTAGTTCTAGCTTACATATGTTGATTACAGTAATATAAATTAAGCTAATCGAGGGAAGCGAGGCCAACCCCCCGGCAGGGGCCGCCGGAGGCAAGTAGGGGGTGTAGGGTAGGCTCGGGCAGCCTCGTGACCGCTTGCTTAGTCGTGCCATGGCCTATATGTAGCTTCATGTTCCCGTCAACCTTTGTTTGAAAGTCCTGTCCCAATTAACTCAGTATGCATTCCCCTTGACATGGCCGGCCACAAAGACGCGCAGCATCGCTAACCCATCAATAGTTGCGTGCGGTCCGTGCCACAGACGGGGTAGGTTCAGCTTTCCGGGTCCCCGGCATCTCGAGGATGTAACTAATTGGAACTAGCAAAGTCCTGGAGGGAGGGACAAGACTCGGTCGCCCAATGCCACCGACTGGAGCTATATAATCTAACCTCGCGCGAAGATGAGGGTGGTGGCACCCGGCCCCTGGGACAGGCAGCCACCAGCACGACTAGTGCGGAACACTGACTCGCGCCGTGCCGTGTATGATATAATTATAATCTCAGCCCCAACGCCTGAAACGACTTGCACATACGAAGCGAAGATTTACGTCTTTCATCTGGATTATGACAACGGTTCGGGAAGGGGGATCTCCGCGGTGAATCCCAGCATCGATCCTCACCTATACCCCTTTCGAGCGTCACCATTCTCCCGACTTCAACCCTCTTGCTTCGACCAATTGCGAGCGACGTTCTCATCATGGGGCAGGATGACAGGGGCGCTCAGCTTCTCGCTTCGTTGTGGTCGCTGACGGCGGCGGCAGCGATACTGCTCTTTCTCCGTTTATACTGCAAGCTCTGTCGAGCCAAGGGCTTGTGGTGGGACGACCACGTGTTGATCCTCTCATGGGTATGTCTCCGACGAACCCCGACGAACCGAAGTGGCCCGTATGCTCATGCGTTTTTGCCATAGGTTTCATTGACCACCGCTGCGGCGATCCAAACATACCTTGTCAGCCTCGGCTTTGGCCAGCACATGGAGACCATTAGCAAAGAAGACCTCAAGACGATCAACCTGTTCACCATCCTCTTTGCGACATTCGCCATCATAGCGACCACAGCGAGCAAATCGTCATTTGCTCTGACCTTGTATAGGATCACCGATGCCTCCTGGATGAAATACTTGCTCGTCTTTATCATTGTGACGACCAACGTTTCGATGAACCTGGTTTGGATCTTCGGCTTCACCAAATGCACGCCTACGAAACGAGTGTGGGATAAAGACGTGCAAGGAACCTGCTGGGACCTGCAAAAATTAGTCAAGTTCCAATTATTCGCTGCTTGTGAGTCGAGGGTCCGAAATTGTATCTTTGGAGATGCGTCGTGAATTAACCCCGTGTGACCAGACTATTCGGCCATTCTGGACTTCGTCTTGGCCGCCCTACCATGGAAGATTATCATGGGCGCTTCGATGCGTCGCCGCGAAATGATTGGGGTTGCCGCGGCCATGAGCTTGGGCGCCATGTGACAACCCTCGAGTGGAAGCCTTACTAGATTGCGAGTTAGCTAATGCTCCCCTCAGTGCCGGAGCCACCGGCATTGTCAAAGCAGCCATGGTCGTCAACATGACGAGCCCCGATATCACGTACGATCGCGTCGATTTGACCATTTGGTCCTTTACGGAGCCCGCTGCTTCAATCATGGCTGTATCCATTCCTATGCTGTAAGTTGGACTGACACGCGTAACGCAACACGGAAACCAGCCTGTCTGACATGATGAAAAACAGGAGGATGCTGTATCAGGAGCTCAAGTCAAGCCACAACCGATCCAAGTACAACCGAAGCAATCCGTACGCCGCAAAACCGTGGGGCGATCACATGGCCCCGGAAGCACGGCAGACAAACCTGTACGGTTCCCATGGGCATTATAGCCAGAGGTCTGTTGCCGTCTCGTCGAATACGGCGTGGGAGGATTCCCAAGAGGCCCTGCGGGACTTAGAGGACAACACCCAAACAAAGTGGTCGTCCCCGGACTATAGCGGAATCCTCAAGACAGAGGAAGTAAGGGTGCATCATGAGCGACCGAGCAACGTGAACGGCGGAAACGCTATCGAGATGTCGTCTTTCGGGACTAGATGAACGCAAAAAGGGTAGGAAATGCTCTGGTGGTGAGCGAAACGTCAGTGTAATTGCGACACGAAGCCCAGTTGGGGTGGGCGCGGGTTACTCGTACCCATATACCAGGCTGAGGCTCTCCTAAATACAGGCAGGATCCAGTCTTCTAGGCTCACTCATGTCATTCTTCATTCCGATCCCAATGTCCCAGGAGTCGCGGGGTTCGCGGAGGCAATTAGGGCCACACTCGCAGACGTGTCCTCAGCCATTGGAATGTCGATGTCGACGGGTACCTCCACGTCAACCTGGCCAGTGTTGTCCGCCTAAGTCGTTGATTTTGTGCGCCGAGTGAAAGGTTGACGAGCCGTCTCATCGGCAGTCAATGCGGCTCCACAGTACCAAGTGCTAAATGTACTAAGTATTGTTAGTCTGCAAGAGAGAAGGTAAGATAGGTACTACCTTCCTACTAAGAAGGTAAGATATCTGTAAACAAAGCTTAAACCCGCTCTAATAAGCACCGTGCATTCTAACGTACATATATATAATTCCGAGAGGGAGCTGGTCCACTCTTCTTCCTTTCTCCCTTTACATCAACATCACGATGGCACTGCAATACCTTACGCCAACCAACGATCGGTGACGGAGAACTGCCAGGGCTGGACTATACGGGTGCTACTTGTTCTCCTTCTTCCTTCAATATTATCGATAAATATGGCGCTGTGAGTGCATCAAAACCTCCGGGGCTCGGACATAGTCTGCAAGATACTTACCTTTATCCAGACATCAAATCTTCAGAATCCGCCGAGTCACCCGACGCCCCCAGGATGCACAGCCTGATGGTGCCGGGCTCTCGACGTCTCAGGGTCGCAAATATATGGGCGAGTGAGTCAATATCCGTCTCTACAGACTGAGGGCTGTCAATGACACCATGTAGTTACCAATGTCAGTATGCGGTCCCCGTCGAGGCACCCCAGAAGCGCAGGGCTGGGGGGGCCCAGGAGGAGTGGTGGCAGGTCGAGGAATTGGAGGGGTGGCTCGGTAACTGGGGGGTTATATTTGTTGTGGTCGTCGTTCTTGTCGTGTTTACGGCGAACATTTCACCGTACCTACCCTACATGCACCTAGTCCACCTGTATCGATAAACACCCAGCGATTCAGACAATATCTTGAGGCACAGATAGTGACAGAGTTGGCATCCCATATTGCCGTCTTCACCCCTTAGCTCGGACAAATACACAAGATTCGCAATCAACTCGGCTCGGCTCGACGACCCAGATCGTCTTGAATGATCTCACGGCTTTCAACAAGTCCTCCTCTCGCAGGATTGCGCGTGGCCACCGTGGACAACTTCCAAGGCAATGAGGGGAGGGTCGTGACCGTGTCTCAGTGGTCCTCAGCATTGAGGCTGGGCGCCCAAGCTTTCTCAACGCCTCGCGCCGCATCAACATCCCCCTGTCCCGTGCCGGGCATGGCATGTACCTTATGGGCAATACCTCGACCTTCAGCACGGTGCCCATGTGGGCCGCCGTCCGCCGCTTGCTCGGTGACAGCTGCAGACTAAGGCTACGTCTTTAGTGCCCTCGCCACCTCTCGAACAAGAGCTGTAGATTCTGGGCATCCTGGCCCCTGGTTAGTGTAAACACACCGGCCTGCCTAGCCGGGTACACTTCAGTTCTCTGCCACGGACCGCCTGGTTTTAGACATCACTTGCAAAGTTCAGTCAATCAGCCACAAGGCGCCATGAGTGCGTAATTTCCTTTTTCTTCTGCTTGCACGATGTTCATCGTCGTAGTGCATACCAGGGTGTTTGTGGTGCTCATGCTCCAATCTGCTTATAAGTATGTGTGGTGGAAAAATCCAACGGCGCCTGTTGCGCTGATTGCCTTTACGATGCCGGAAGTGAGCATTGCCACGAATGTAAGCAGACCGGTGTAGTTAATTATCCATTCACGAGAACAAGACTATGAACATGAATTGGGTATACCACCCCACGTATGTAACGTCAATCTTCCCAGGGCCACGTCACATGGCCAGCCCTTGCTCTCCACGTTGCTGCAGCGCCCAGCCCTTGGGCTGTTCTGCCTTTTACAAGCACCAGACCGTCAGAATCAAAGCTGGGGGCTCTTATCCGGCTACTGGCCTGTCGACTTGTGCAGATTTCACAGCGACCTCTTCATTCGTCGAAAAGTGCAACTCTCCTGCGCCCTTCAGAGCCGAACGTCACTCTATTCAGGATTTGGGCAAGCAGGCTCGCACTGTGGACAACTCTTCTTCACGCTGCTGTGCGGTATACGTACATCGCTATCTAGCTGGTCCGCTTTGCTGTCGAAAATGGCGCGCTGGTTAACGAGATCAAAGACAGCTTGAACATCCAAACACATCTCGAATCCACGACATTGGGCCCCCACTGGGCCAACAGCACCTATGACCAGACATGAGATAGACCGCTGCAAACTGGGTACCACAGACAAGCTTGTGGCATTTCACACGTGCCAATGTCGGTCGGGCACTCATGCTGACGAAGGGCGTGTAGCACAGCATTTGGCAGGCGTCTTCGGCCCGCTGTGGCACTTGTGTGACGTCCTTTGTCACTGGAGGAATGGGCGAGAGGGTTTCTGGTTGCCTTTTTCTCGGTGAGGGGTGATTAAAACACGTGGCATGCCCCGGGATCATCTCCCGCACTTACAGAACCGGTCAGTGTTGAGTTGGCCAAGGACAACCATGACGATATTTGATTGATGTTCCAAAGGCACAGCGCAGAAAGCCTATGCGTTGACTCCGCAGGAGTACATATGTGGGAGGCGATTCTGCTGATTCTCCAAGATAACATGAAAAGACACAGCACCCTTGCCTTTCATCAAAAAAATCCACAAAGAATCTTGCCATCGACCATCTCTTCACTTCTCGAGAAACATGTGCCTCCTGGTTAAACACGTCCTGACCTGCGGCCATCCCGAAGATGCCATTATGCTGCTGCCAGAATCCGCTGAAGAGTGCGAAGCGGCAGTGAGAAAGAACAATCGAGACTCGGACGGCAACCTGGAGCGCTGCTCTGGCTGGGATCTTTCGACAACCACATGTGAGATCAAGGGTCATTGCGGTGAACATGAATGTAGGATGAAGGGCTTTGTGGAGCTGGGCTGGAAATGCCACGAGTGCGGCTCTTGCACGCAAGGCGAGGAGATCTGCGAGGGCAAGGATTGTGCGCATCAAGTATGCACAGATTGCAGCCCAGACTGGGTGTGGGAAGACAGTTTGTACGGGCATGGATAGTATGGATGGTCCGAATCACCACGGCTGTGTGCGTGTCACACTTCCATACAGTGCAGCGACAATCTCGTAACAGACTTTGCTTGGCCAAGAATTTCCATAGCTTGAGATAGTAATCGGAAGCTGTCTATTCCTTTTTAGAAACACCTTTGGCGCAAGGGCATCTGCCTTCCAGCCGAGCAGCTCTCCAAAGACGAGGACGCGCCCGAGATAGGAGTTGAGTTTGTTCGTGAACAATCCCTGGATAGTATCTCTGCAAGCACTTGACTAGATAGTTGGTTTCTGGAGGATCAAGCGAGCAAAAATAAAGAGGCAAAAGAAAAGGGCAGAAGCTCAAAAAACGTACAACAGCCGGTATTCGCTGGGCGTCACCGACCCAACTACTAATCAGCCCCTTAGCGGCTTGACTATGGGAGAGCGGACGGGATCCCGTATTTTCCACTGGGTATGGTCGTATGTGATCGATGAGGCTTCACGAACTCTATATCAACTTAGCGACTTAAGCGACTTGGTGTCTCTGCGCCGCGATAAATATTTTACTCTCTGTTGCGCTTGATGTCGCTTGAATAAAGAGCAGAGACGTCGTCAGAGACAGTATACATCTTGATATAATCGCGTTATCTTTAACACATGGACGGTGCAGTCTCCCTCGGTGTGCTTACTTTATATGTACATTGCTAAAAATCAAATCTGTCTCGTTTATCAAAGCCTTCCAAGACCTATATGCAGAATACACTTGCAATGGCCCGAATTAGTCACTTGTCGAACATGTGCCGACTGCATTGACGATTGTCTCCACCTTGCGCCTTTCAAGTTGCGTCTAAAATTCCAAGTGACGCGTCCCTGTGAGTCAAGCTGGACGACGCAAGTCAGCGAGCCTAGTCCATCTTGGGCTCGCCGAGCTTGACCAGAGCTATATTTGTTGTCGACCGTGTTTAGGAGGAAGATGAGAAAACCAACATGGAAGCGTCCTCGGCTGTAGCCTTTGCAAGACGCGACTAGCGACAGAGCTTTGCACAAGGCAGACACAGCTACCGTTTACTGACACCTTGAAGGGCTACCAACATCGTCAAATGGCTCTCAACCACACGAACTGGACTGCAATCGGCAAGTTCCAAAGTTTCAGCCCTCTTGCGACGGCAGGCCTGTTCTTCGTTGTCCTGGCGATCCGGCCTTTCTTTCCTAAGAAGAGCAAGACTGCATCGCTTATTCTGAGCCACCTGGATCACAGACGGTTACTGCGAGCATCGTGGGTAATCTCACTATCCTTCGTGAGTCAACTACTGTCTTTTTTCTTGGCTTTCCATCCCCAGCGACTGAATTGTCCAGGCTCTCGAAGCAGTGCTGTTTGCGATCCGAACCCGACTCGGCACACAGGGCAAGCCGTCGCCAGACACGCCCATCTACCTGCTCGGCTCTCTACTTGTCTGGCTCTGTCTAACCGTCGCTCTCTTTGAATCGAGTCAGCCCTTTTGGCCGGCCTACTTTACCGCCTGGGCATCCACTGCTGTCGCTGATGTTGCAATCTTCGCTCTCCGCGCCATACTCAACGACTCGCCAGACACTTGGGAAACGGTCCAGTGCGTCGTCATCCTTGGCCGTGCCGTGGCTGTGTCTCTCATGGTAGCTTGGAGTGCGATCTTGGTGAAAAAGACCCACCTCCATCCTGTGAAAGACGAGGAGGAGACCCGAGGCCTTCTCAACGGCCGAGACAGTGGCGAGGGCTCTGATGATGGCGATGGCCCTGCAGAATATGGCTCAATCAATCAACAGACGAGTGGTCACGAGGAAGAGGACGAAGAGGATGACGACGAAGACGAAGACGAAAAAGAGATCAAGCGACTGCAGAAGCAGCGGATGGCCGAGCAGGGCGGGTGGGTAGGGTACCTGCGAGGCTTCGCTATCTTTCTGCCATATATCGTCCCTTACAGAGACCGCCACGCACAGCTCTGGGTCTTCATCATGCTCGTGTGCGTATCACTGGAGCGGGTTCTCATCGTGATGATTCCACAGCAGCTCAGTGCCGTCACGGACAGCCTCGCCGCCACCGCCGTCACGGGCCACGTACCCTGGGCCACCATCATCGCCTGGGGCCTCCTCCGGTTCCCAGGCAGCGGCATGACACACATGCTCAAGACCATGGCGAATACGCGCATCTCGCAGTTCGCCTACTCGCAGCTCAAGTCGGCTTCATTTGCCCACGTCATGGGTCTGTCCATGGACTACCACACGACCAAGAGCTCCGGGAAGCTTGTCAAGGCGATTGAGCAGGGCACGGACTTGACGTCGATCATCGAGAACGCCTTTACCATTGGGCCCATGCTCATCGACATTGCCATTGCGGCCGTCTACCTGACCACCCGGTTCGACTTTTACATGGGCTACATCCTGCTGACAACGTCTCTCCTACATATTTACTCCAACGTCAAGACCATCTCACGCACCGTCCCTATTGAGAGGATCTCCAGCGAGCGGGCACGCGTCGAGAACGAGGTCCTCTACGACTCTGTCACCAACTGGCCCACTGTGGCCTACCACAACCGCCGCACATTCGAGCAGGAGAGATATGCCCGCGTCGTTCGGTCCCACGTCACAGCAGAGCGTCGCTACTACGATTGGATCGACTACGGTGAGGCTCTCCGCGAGTTCGTGCTGGACACGGGACTGGTCCTCGCTGCAGCGCTGGCAGCCTATCGCATATCGACGGGCGATGCGCAGGTGAGCAGCTTCGTCTTCCTCGTGGTGTACTGGGCCGAGATACGCGAGCCCATGTCCCAGCTGGCGTGGACGTTCCGCGAGACGTCCGCGCACTTGATCAATGCCGAGTGGCTGTTTCAGCTGCTGCAGAACAAGCCAACAGTGCAGGACAAGCCTGACGCGCGAGAGCTCGTGGTGAAGGAGGGACGCGTCGATTTTGACCGCGTCTCCTTCGCCTACGACCCCCAGCGCCCGATCCTGCGCGACGTCTCGTTCACAGCCTTGCCGGGACAGTCGGTGGCCCTGGTGGGCGAGACGGGCGGTGGCAAATCCACGGTCCTAAAGCTCCTGTACCGCTTCTACGACGTCCAAGGCGGCAGCATCGCCATTGACGGCCTTGACGTGCGCGATGTGACGCTAGATTCACTGCGTGACAACCTGGGCATCGTCCCACAGGACCCGTCCGTCTTCGACCAGACTATCATGGACAATGTCCGCTACGCCCACCCCCACGCCACGCCGGCCGACGTCGTAGCCGCGTGCAAGGCCGCCCAGATTCACGACCAGATCATGTCCTTCCCCGACGCGTACGGCACGCGTCTCGGGGAGCGCGGCGTCCGACTGAGCGGCGGGGAGCTGCAGCGGGTGGCGATCGCGCGGGTTCTCCTCCGCAGGCCACGCATCGTGGTGCTGGACGAGGCCACGAGCGCGGTGGACTCGAGGACGGAGGCGAGCGTGCAGCAGGCGCTCAGGGCGCTGGGCGCTGGGCGGACAGTGTTCACGGTGGCGCACAGGCTGTCGACGGTCGTGGACGCGGATCTGATCCTGGTCATGGACAAGGGGGCGGTGGTGGAAAGGGGGACGCATGGGGAGCTGCTGGCCATCGGGGGACGGTACACCAGGCTGTGGGAGATGCAGACGGCGCACTCGCGGGTGGAAGATGACTGAATTGTTGTGATGAACCGCGATAGCTAAGGAACTTTACACCGCCCACTAGGGACAGGAAGAAGTAGCCCAATAGCGTAAGGATTATATCTGCAATAAGTGGCTATATAATATATAATTCGGTCTAACACGAAGTGTTTTTCCTAAGTCCAAAGAGCGTGTACCCCTTGCATATGACATCTCGTATCTTTCAATCCGACTTGGTATTACTTTCCGCTTTCATAATCACCGCCTATCGTTCTATCGAGTCAAGAATATACTGCTCGCTCACCTCATCGCTATGGTGTGCGACGCTGCAGTTATTGATGCGGCATTTGGTGCCGCTGGTCTTTGCAGCGCCTGAATACGGCTGCTAGGTGCTGCTGTGGCTGCTCGAGTTGTTCTCCGGCGTATCATTAAATCCGTACAGGTTGTTAGACTGGCTCCTTGCGGTATTGCCAAAGACTGAGGGGAGTATGCTAGCAAGTGGCAGACGGCACATCGGCAAGCAGGCACAGATAATTGCCACATTCTGTTCGATGAGCGTCCAAAGTGTCGAAGCGATATCATCTGCGCAAAGAGATTAGCGGTGTTAAGTCCGAGGTTGCAAAGGTGGGTTAAATCATAAGTGATGTCTGGTGTTGTTGTGGAAAACCTTAAAGTCGTTGCACGCATGATGGACGTAACAGTGACGCTGTAAGCCGTATTAGCACATGTGAATTATGTTAAAGAACGGTACGGTGGTCTCACAAACCACCAAGAGCAAAAACCAGTATCAGGGCTCTCTTCTGGTTGATAGGAAGTTTACAGGCCCAGATTGGCTGCATAGGTAGTAGAAGGATCAGAATGTCGGTAGCAATGGAAAATCCGGCGTTACTATACCAGTTCACCGTCAAGTCGATGCATTTCGGGCTTGTTGACTTATCCCAAGCGCCATTGATTGGATTGCACTGAAAGATGGATGAGAAGGTTGTGGCAAATGTGTAGCTGAGAATAACCCCCAGGAGAACGTAGCAAGAAATGCAGAACCAGCGCTGGACAAAGATTCGTAGGGAAAGGGCGAGGATATATGCCTTGGTCAGGTTGATAGTGAGTTTGTAGAAGATTTGCGCAACGTAAAAGAGCTATGCACCCCCTTAGCCTGGGATTTCACCGTAGATAAAGCCGACAGTTGTGCCTCACCTTGAGTGCCATCAAACGGTCATCGGCAGCAAGACTACTCACGTGTCGTCCGAACCCGTGTGACACTGACAGTATCATGAGAATCTGGACAACCAATAAGCAAGCCTGATGTGTCAGCGTTCTGTTTCTAAACTATACTCTGCGCGATGAGACCTCGGACTTACAAATGACGCTAGAATTGTCCAGTCATCCATCCCGATAGTAGAACTTGTTGCTCTGCGACTCCATAATCGAATGAGGACAAGAATGGGCGTAAAAACAAAGAACACGATGGAGGGAACTGTCACACAGTAAGCGTTGCTCCCTTCCGGGTCGTTGGCGGAGACCATGATGGGTCAGTGTGATATTAGTTCCGAGTGTGGCAAGAAGCAGGTGGATAGACAGGTGTCGTTTCTCAGGATGAGTGGAGCTGATGAATCCAATTCGGAGGGAGTTTGTGTATATGTACTAAGGGGCGGTTTGCTGGACAGCAGACAGGACCTGAGCTCACCTTGACCTTGATAGGATACCGGCAGTCCTGTGAAAGCGGCGAGAGTTTGAGACGTGGACAGCTTCTTCGACACAGGTCCATCATTCGTCTTGTATTGGCGCTGTTCTAAGCATTGGCTGGATCGAATATAATCGTCTCGGGCTCATTAGAGAATGCTGCGGTGATGGGGGAGCTTCCCGCAGGAAATTACGCCGCGCATGCGCGGTCTGAATTCCGATAGGTTCGACGTTACAAGGTCTCTTCGTTTGTCGTCTTTGCGTAAAGAAGGACCTTGCCCGCTGTGCCGCCCTTATTGTGCCTCAAAAGTCGAACCGAATACAGCCATCACCTTCTCCTTCTGCCATGCATTGCGTAATTCGCTTGCGTGACAGGATTCCTTCCTTGCGCGAATGTCTCGAAGCGAGCGAGTGCCGCATCGGCAAGGCTAGGTGAATGAAGATACAAGTCAGGAACATTTGCAGGTACCAATAAATTCACCCAGCTTTCGCTTCATGTCATAGGCCTTGGCCTCAAACAGATGATGCAGGGGTTTCGAATCAGTACGTAGTACCTGGCGGCTTGTCCTAGGGTCCAGTGATTAGGTGCATGTGTGTGTCCTTTGATCGCTGCCGTGCCCTGCTCTAGCTTCTGACAGATCGTTCTCCTGCAGTAACGAGAAATGCATTGAATCTCGTTCAAGAACAGCGCCTGCCGCTGAATCTACAAGAGTTGCTACTATAGAACTTACACGTACTACTGTGGAACTCGCGGGGCATTCACCAGCTCCACGGCCAAGCTCCTCGCGTTGCGGAGACTACTCCATACAAAACGAGCAATTTGTGTCATTGATAGTTAGGAGAGACGGTGCAACGCGTGCTGCCAGGCGGGGACAGCTCAATCGGGGCCTACCCCGTCGAGTGTCATGCATGAAGCCGGGACCAGTGTGATTCAGTGAATCACATCATCTGTCTTCTGTGGGGCCCGCCGGTGGTTAAGTCTGACAATATGCGTGTTGCTGCTGGCGGGCATGTTGGCTGGGTGATAGGAGCTCAACAATAGTACCCAGAGCTGCATGTACCAGGTAAGGTAGGTACTTATGTGCCTGCCTACTACGTACTGGTAGCATGCTGCCAACCTTGTGGTTTCGACGTTTCCTTCTGACCTCGGCCCAGAATTACTGAAAAAAGTCGTCGCCTTCTCGTCTCAGTTTGCGCCTTTCGCTTCGGACTTTCCTGCCTCCCCCCTATCATTAATTTTCCGCTTCTCTCACGGCAATCACCTCCTCGACGATGAGACTCTTTCTGCTCTCCGTCCTTGCCACAGGCCTTATAGGCGCAGGTCTTTGCGACGCACAGGCCGTCGGTACCATCTCCACGGACCGTGTGCCCGATGACCTCAATGGCTCCAACTTCACCTATCCATTTCCCGTCCATGTTTTCAATTTTGTGGGCCAGAACCAGGCTCTCGAGATGGCTTTCATGGATGTCAAGCCTACGTGCAAACCCAACGGCAAGACCGCTGTCCTGCTGCATGGCAAGAATTTTTGCGGCGCGACCTGGACGACAACGATTCGTGTGTTGGCCGGCAAGGGATATCGCGTCATCGCGCCGGACCAGGTTGGTTTCTGCAAGAGCAGAAAGCCCGTCGATTACCAGTTCAGCTTGAGACAGTTGGCCTGGAACACCCGGGGTCTGCTTGACAGCCTCAACGTGGGCAATGTCACCGTCATTGGTCACTCCTTTGGCGGCATGCTCACGACAATGTTCGGCCTTCAATACCCCGAGACTGTGGATGAGCTGGTCCTTGTTGACGCCGTTGGCATGGAGGACTACACCCAAAAGGGCGTACCCTACATCAGCATCGACCAGTCACGCGACCAAGAGGCTTCCTCTACCTATCAGTCCATCAAGAGCTACGAACAGCAGTTTTATTACGTCGGTCAGTGGGACGAGGACTATGATACTTGGGTCAGGATGCTCGTGAACATCTACTACGGCTCCCAGCGCGAGGCTTACATTCATTGCCAAGCCAAGATCGTCGACCTTGTCCTCACGCAGCCCATCGCTCAGTATTTCGATGATCTCAAACCCCGCACCCTTATCATCGTTGGCAATAAGGACAGGACGGCAATCGGTGCGCAGTGGGCTCCTCCTGCAGTTGCAGAGAAGCTAGGCAGATTCGATCTTCTAGGCCCCGAGGTGTCTGCTCGGATCCCTAAGGGCGACCTAATTAGCTTTCCAAATGAGGGACATGCACCTCAAATCTCTGTGCCAGTGGAATTTCACGAGGCTCTCTTAGGTTGGCTGTCTAATTAGGTTAGCGAATAGATATAAGCCTGAACCTTTGTGTGTCCCTTATAAATATGTACAAAAGGTATGTTATTAGAAGTATAGCCTATTCTAGGCAGTATAAAGTGCTCTATAAAGTGCCTTTGATCGATGCATATTGCCAATCGGCTTATTGACTTTGCGTCAGCCAAGGTGCTCCCTCCTAGTCCCAACAGGCGAAACGGCCACGGTTCCATGTGGCTACTCATTGACATGCTCATGGTCGAATTTTGGCTCTTGCACACAGCAGTAGCGTTTTGTAGTTTTGAATGCGCCAGGTGGCCCACACAGCATAGGCCACGTCGGCTGTCGCTGTTTGTCGGAATCCGAACCGTTCTACTTCAACTCGCGCCTCAGTATCGCGCCCATCATTCATCAGTCCCATTGTGCTTGTTCCCAGTCTTTGCAGGCGGGAACTTCAGCCCTCTATTATCTTCCTTTGGTTCGGCCTCAGGACCCCATCCACCAAGCCCATCAGCCATGGCCATACCACCGAGGCCAGACATGCTCCCCTTTCCAGCACTGCCGGCCAGTTGATTCTTTCCCACGCCCGGCCGATCTCGTGCCCATATTTTGAGCTCCTCCTTATTCATACCTAGATGCTTTTGCAGTTCCTCATCATCGATTGGCTTTCCTCGCTTCTTGTCGTGGTATCGCGCATACCAGCTCTTTTTCTCCTCTTGGGTGCCGCTGCCAGCTGGATTCTTGTTCTCCGATTTGGATAGTAGTCCCATTATCTTTGAATCCGGGCAATTGAAAGCGTAATGAATTTCTTTGATTCGAATAAATTCGATTCAGTATTATGCTGCGTGAACAAACAACAGTCCACTGATGCAGTCGAGTGCGGGGCTGAGTCTGTCTTTATGGCCGATTCAGCTGCTTTGCCGCCTTGCTGTGCCACTAGGCCGCATGTACGGCGGGATATTAGATCACAAGGTGCCAACGGTATCAACCCCCGCAGTGCAACGACACCACACCGGTGGCCCCTCCCACACTTTGTAACCTATATACTTTTCAACATACCGCCACGAACGAATATCGAAAATTATCAGGCCTTAATTTTAGATGCACGCAATGAGGGCCTCTTAGCGACTTAGATTCTTGAATTTCTGAATGATGCGATCGTTGGTGACGGTGGGAATCCTGTGTTAAAAATCACGCTCAAAAGAGCGCTGGTATCATGGACTGCCCCTCGTCCAATAGCCCGCTAGACCCTGACTGTCTTGGAAGACTATATTTACGGCTAGTATTTCTTGAATACCCTAATCAATGATATTCTCGAAGATACTAATTTGCGGCTATAAGAAGCTGGTGATCCTATTATTAGTAGACGGACCTTGCTACGCTAGCTAAAGGCGTGGGGCTTGGATATAAGACACTAGGCGCTGGATATCCCGGACGCCCTAATCGATCGGATTAAATACCTCTTCTTTAACTTCGGGCTATCCGATATATCGATTCTGCGGGAGCTTTATTAAGGAGGCTTCCACGCCTACCTCTCGGCTGTAAAGAAGGTCCGCTGGCAGCACGGTATGAAACGCCGGGTCAGGACCGTTGAAGAATAACAAGAGAGGCTCGACAACGCCGTCGAATTCCTCTACCAAGACCTCTAGAGGAGCGGCGCGGCCTTGAGCTTTGGCAAGGGCTTGCTATACTAATATGTTCGTTAGAAGGGGCAAATTGTGGTCTCATAGCGCCGTCTATACGATATTTATCGGGCTGCTTTTCTAGAGGAAGTCGCTGGCCGCCGTGATGGTAACTTTAAGTAAAGAGGCGACTTTCGCGTGCCCGGACCGAACTTCTTGTGGTCCCTCGATGGCTATGAAAAGCTTAGGAAGGTCGGCTTCTAGATTTACGGTTGTATCGACGCCTATTCCCGCTGTATTATATGGTTTTACGTGGGCCGATTAGCAATAACGTCTCTTAGCACGTTAAAATAATATCTTGAGGCCGTCCGGCGCCTGTAAAAGCGGCCCTTTTTCACGAGATCTGACTACGGCACAGAGACGCCGCTGTGGGTAGCGGCGCAGGCGTCACTCGCTAAAGCTAGCCCTAAGAAAGTCAAATATACCGATGAAGATGGAAATATTTATTATTATGCCTAAGGCGATCGGCTGGATAGCTGTTATTTATATGGCCCAAGCATAAGGAACGTGAGGATCGAGTCTTGGTGGCGGCAGCTGCGGCGTGGCGTTATAGACCGCTGGATTATCTTCTTTAACGACTTAATCGGCTATGGCCTCTTCCGCGAAGATAGCCTCGTCGATTAGGTAGCCGTCTACGCTATCTACGGCGAGATAATCCGCGATGAACTTGCTGACTTTGTTTATCTATGGAATGGGCATATTATCCGTAACCAGAAGAACCGACCTAATGTTAGATCTGGCATACCAAGGGATTTATATTATATAACCGCTGACCCGGACTGGGGCGTTCCTTTCGATGATAACGACGATAGCCCACAGTAGCAGCTTCTTCGCGAAATGTAGGAGCCTCTCGAGACGATAGATATCGATAGTCTGCTGCCCGCCGAGATAGAGGCTTGGTGTAAGGCATAGCTCCAAGGGCTTGGCTTCGAGGCTAACCTGGCAGAAGAGGATGACCTCAAAAGGCCGTTTATTAGCTTTTATTTGAAGCTTCGCGAGATTATCGAAAAGCACTAGAATTCCGGCGTGTAGCCTATCTTGGCTATCTCACAAGTTCACACTGGTGGCGCTGCCGAATACCAACGTCTGTTACAGTAGAATTACCTCGACGATCCAGGCCTCTGTGGTGACGCGATGCCGCCCGAATTTCAGGCACAAATAAGCTAGGCTATCGAGGAAGGGGATAATATAGAATAGATCGCGAAAAGCTTTATTTTACCGCTATATAGGGTAGTGTTTAAAGCCTTACGCGACGGGCCTATGTATATGTGTGAGATCCTTGTACTGCCAGACCCACCGTAATTTCCCCCCTACAACACCATATAATATCCGCGAATATAGCCCTTTCCTGCGTTCTTTCCCTACTAACCGGCGGCATTATATTAAACGGTAGGTCTAATCAATCTCTTACTTTCGGCTATGTGTTTTAACGTCTATTTTAGTGGTAGAAATGCCCGAGCCACCGCTATCGATTCCCACGGTCTGCGACACGCACCCATAACGCGAAAAACACGATAGAATACGCGCTGCCTCCGTCGGGCTGCTCTGCCCCTTCTGTGGCCGGCGATGGCCTAAGCCAGTCGAGATCGACGCCCTAGATACGTTTAGCGACCCTCCAACGCCTATAACTATATATAGATCGCCGTTAATTAGCGGCTACGCGTCGTCGGAAGGTCGTGGTATCGCTGAATAAGCGCTACCCCGATTATCCTCGTTATCTTTAACGCGTGGCGATCGCCTTAATAACCTACGTGGCCACATAAGGCAGGCTATTATCGCCATAAGGCCGGCTAAGCCTGTCTCGCTGTTTGAAAATCCCTATGGCCTTAAAATCCGGGTCCAGCTAGTCTATTCCACCGGTCGCAGGCTCTAAGGTGGTATCTTCAAAGCCTCGAGCTCTTCATTAATAAGTAAGCCAATTTAGATATTCTAAAATATAGCTAATTCGCCGTAGGTGGAATAGATCTACCACTTATCTCGTGGGCCGACCTTAGATTCCTCACAAAAGCCGATTTTCTGACCATATACCTCAAACCTTCTATTCTTTATGATACCCTTAAAATGCTCGATGAGTCGATGATATATATCGGCACGTCCTTCTAGAAGAACGGCAAACAAGAGCCTGGGCAGTTTACATCGGTTTCCTTGAAAAATAATAGCCTTTGGGATGTACTAGGCTAAGATAATGATTTCCAGTGGGCTATTAGTGACAGCCGGGTTGTCGTGTGGATTGAGCTTCAATTTATCGAAGATAGCCCCAAAAAGCCTGCCTTAAAGCCACGGAAGCCGCGGTCGAGGGCCAAGTCTACGGCGCCAGGCGAACGGTCGCAAAGGGAATCAACGCCAGCTTTAATTCGGGTTAAATCAGAGCCAAATCCAGCACCCTACGAGCCGATCAGCCTCAAAGCCTTCCCATAAGACCTAGCGGGTGGGACACGTAGCGAGACGGCCCTGTCTAAAGCGTCGGATGATATAGACCTCTTGCTGACTGAGATCGGCGCCCTTGAGGCACCCGACGAAGCAGCCGATAAGGCACTCGCTGAGGCACCCGATGAAGCAGCCGATGAGGAACCCGCTGAGGCACCCGATGAAGCAGCCGATGAGGCACCCGCTGAGGCACCTTATGAGGTAGTTAGGAAGAGGCTAAGGGCGCCTATAGCGGGTAGCGTTGATGAAGAGGTGCGACCTCGCCGTTCACGGCGTGAAGCTAGGCCAACCGCCCGGGCGCGGCGGTCGTGATCAAATTTGTAGCTATTTACAACCTCACTTACAGCCTTACTTTATAACTAATTGAATACGAACATATATCTTGCTCAAGAACTTCAGCGCCTCCGTGACAACCACCACACGCCTTATATAAAAAATAAATACTATTATCACGAAGTCTGCTATCGCTAGATCACAGCAAATTAATTTATTTATTATAGAATTGAATTCTATGGCGTGCGCAGCTCTTTGGGTGAGGCTGTAATGACGAGGGTGCGTATGTGTGTTGTGTGGTGGTTGTGCAATTGGTCATTGATACCGTTGGCACCTTGTGATCTAATATCCCACCGTACGCATGTAGTCCTCCATGGCTAACTCGTGGAAGAAACGATGACGCAAACTTGAACTTAAGGTAAGGCTGACTGCACGTGGGGGACCTGACCTTTCTCAGCCCATTGGCTCAGCCACGCCCAGTATGACTTGCGGCCCTAGAAATAGGGATACTAATACTAGTACATGATGTATGCCGAATTGTTGAAGAGACGATCAGGGAGAGAAAGGACATGAAAACTTAGCCCTCTGCTCCCACTTAAATGCCTACTCAAAGAACCGCACATACTCGCCCTCGGACTCGGCTTCATATAGATTGATGCGCGGCCCCCTCCTAACTTAGACGGCGAGATGTCGGGCCCGTCGAGGTTTGGGCGACTGATATTGGCTTGATTACCGACATAGATCTTGTACGCGGTCCAAGTCGCCCATTCCTGTTGTTGTTCAGCAGTTGCAGCCGCCGATGTAAGCTTTTTGAAAGAGCTTCGGCGGTCGACGACTTGGCTCTCGGTTGGCTTTATGCCTTGATCAATCTCCGCAGCCACCGGCTCTGCTCAAACGTTGGATAGGAACGAGAGATGCATTGTGAGCGAAAGGAGGAGGACATACGCCGTATGAGAAGAAATCTGGATAGTCTTTCAGCCATGACCATGGTCGGTACGATGGAGGAGATGAGATGGGTCAGCAACGTGAGTCCAGGGTAGGCCAGGTCGATCATATGCGAGGTATATACGTATGTGAACTGGAGCTTCCGCATACGATGGCAGTCAGTCAGGGGAACTGCGGCTGATGCCAAACTTGAGTAGGCTGCTTAAGTTCCTGGGCGAGGCACATGTATGAAGTGAGGTCAACCTCCAAGGGATTAGAAGCAGCAACGTCCTGACAGCAAATAGATATCGTCACAGTATCCGACGCCGCCGAGGTTGTGCGCCTGGCGAGACTATCTCTGCGCAGTCGGTGCGTCCGATTGAGTATTTTGAGAAGCTGGTGAGATTGTTCCCTTTAGTCCTGTGGTGAAGAAAACGAGAAGCTAATCAAATATGCTCTTTAGCTCCTAAGAGAACGAAGTTCCGGCCAACTTCAAAAAGACATTGAACGACTTAAAGGCGACATCATTATCTACATTGACCAAGTCCCATATCCGCTTTGGTTAGACCCAGATGTTGGGCTCAAGTTCTTCGGCGTTATTACAAAGGGCGTTCGCGTCAGCGACTTAGAAGCCAAGGTACGGAAGGCTAGATTTTACTTTGAGGCGACTGCGGTTCCGGTTCATCAGAATGATTTGAAGAAGTGGGCTGAGGAGCTTGTTCCGCTTGCGAGGGATCTAGTAACGAATTCTACATAATCCATGGACTTAATCGTCTTCCACGAGCAGGGCCGAAATTGTGGTAGTGCGCTCTGAAGCGTCAAACGGCTTCCTGCTCCCCTGCGCATTTTTCAGATAGCAGTTGCCACTAAACGAGTCATCGATCGATGTCAGGTTCGCAAAGAACGTAATGGCCAGACACTTGCTGTCGTTATTGTCGTAGCGATTATACGCCCCACAGGCGCGTAGGCAGTGCTCGAAGGAGTAGGCCATCACGCCGATAATGACGATTCCGTCGCCTGTTCTGTCGACGCCACACTCGCTGTCGAAGTCGTAGGTATGGGCGCCGAGCTTGGTAGAAGTCATGTCACCGGTGAGGGACGGACAATTCAGCGCCAGAACGACGTCGTCCGGTGGTTGGTAGCCTGTCTCCGTTGTTGGTGATGCGGATGGTTCTGACGTCGTCGTGGTTGTTGAGGATGGGTAGGCCGTGGGACATCTGTTCCATCCCACCGTTACTCCTTCTCTGTACCCTCGTCTGTAATTACCCGGTGGGTTCCAGTCAACCACACATTCATATTCTCCCGGGACAAGCTCTCATTACATACGATCTCGCATTCTTCACCGCCATCGACCCGCCGACACCTCCACCTACCGCTGCTGCGATAATGACCACAGCAAGTGTGACCAGCAGTATGAAGACAGCTGGCACCAGCCCACAAATCGTCCTCTGCTTGGGGCGCGACTCTTTGGGCTCATGCTCCGGCTCCGGCTCCGGCACCGGCTCCGACTTGAAGGCTGGCGGAGGCGACGGCGCCCACGAGGGGACCTGCGTCGTAGAATCGGGAAACACAGCCTCTGGCGCGTCCGAGGGATCAGGCATCGAGTACTTAGGCGTGTCCAACTGGCGTGACCCAGGTGAGCTCGCACCAAGATACCCGTCCATCCTTTTCCGGTCAAGAGTGAAGGACAGAAGAGAGATACACGTACAGGTGGAAGCCGGACGTGAGAGGATGGGGATGGCGGGTCAGCTATAAAAGACCAGCCTCTCAATTTCTCAAACGTCGGGCGCGGGATGCATGTCTATTCTGGGCTGTACGGCCGGGCGGACGGAACGGCCCCCAACCAGGGGTCTCTGGCGCCACCTATCAGCGACGCCGACATGGATCCTGCTGCGGCTTGTGGGCGTTAAGCTAATTTAACGAGCAACGCAGTCGAAGTGAGGACTGTGAGCCTTTGAGGTATCGTCTTTCAAACTGGATAGCAGACATGTGGCGAAAGATGCCCCATGCTGCCTGCTGCTGAGAAACTTCGGAGCAAATCCGTTCAGCCTTGCTGGTTTGGCGATTGACTGTCAGCTCCCCTGCATGGAGGGGTAGCAAGTTGATGGGGGCAGCAAGTTGATGACAGGAAAGAAGATGGTGGAGATCTTGTGTCCAGCGAGCCAGCGGAGAGCAACCGTGGTACTGCTGCTCTGGGTTGAAGGTCGTGGCGCCTGGTGGTATAATAAACCTTTTGTGCGCTGAGTAAATATATACGCGCTGTAAGCGGACGGACATTCTCTTACACCGCCCTCTCGAAGAACGACTGAACGATCCCCTCATTGCTCTGTTCATACACTCTCAGTTCAACGCCGCCATCGTGCGTCAGGAAAGTATTCGCTTGGACAATCTTCCCCCCTGGATCTGTCCGCACAAGGGACGATTCGCCATCTGTCCCCGCCGAGACGACAACCTGCCTCCAAGCTTCATACTCGCCATCCACGTTCGTGAGGGGCTCATAGAACTCCCTGCACGAGTCCACGTTCGCAATGCATCGCCATACGTGGAGTCGAAGAACGAGTCGTCCAAGAGAGGGTTTGCCGTGTGAGATTATCTTCGACCGGTCCACATTGACCCGGACGGTCCTGGCATCTGCGTTGTAGTCGACACTCATGACATCACCGCCATCGAGTAGCAAGTGCTTGAAGATAGCAAAGTCACCCTATACAATCTGTTAGATCTTATGTCTAGCCGCACCAGTCGACCTGTGGGAGCAAGACCGCCGTAATTAGATAATAGTTTGACTTACCCTATGGTGCTGGTCACCCCAGGAGCGGTTCTCCGAGTTGAACGATGCCAGCGATTCGAGTCCAAGTGTGCCTATTGTCAAATAAAGGTAATAGACAACTAGAGGCGCCGGTTAGATACAGCCTTTGGGCCTTGCCGCAAGGAAGACGCAGTAATGACTTACAGTCGGCCACCGTGTCCTCGTCATCGAGCCCAAAGACGCTGAGAACTTCCCTCTCAGCAGGAAGAAAGTATGACACAAGGGTTGCTCGACACTCCTCTATAGAATTGGCCAAGTCGTTGAAGACGCCTTGCCACGCCTGCCCAAATTTGTACCACGTCTCAACAGGCGCATCCGTCAGGGGATTTGTCGGCGGATTGTCCCGGTCGAAATTGAAGACACCTGGCGCGGTTTCGGACAGTAGCTTTCCTGTGCCGTGTCCAAGAAGCTCATGGATCGCATTCTTGATAAAGTGGACAGTTCCACTGTACGTCTTTAACATGCCAGCCTCGGACGGATCGACAAATGCCGAGAGAGGAGTCGACTCCTCCTTAATACGCAGGCGATTCGAAAAGACAATGTTCTTTGCCCCGTATGTCTCACGGATGTCACCATACTGCGAAGTGTTGGATCAGTGGGCAGTATAGACCGACGAGGAACTGCGGGACGCTCACATTGGGCAGATTGCATCCATCCCAGACCGTACTATTGCAGAAGGCGAGGGCTACTGCTGTTAGAAAACAGAAGTCAGGCCGCAAATTTAAGCAGATGAGGGCAACAGGGGCTCACAGACCATGAACAATCGTGAAGTTGGGGGCAGTGAATTCGGATGGCTCAAAGGGCCCCTTTCCGTCGTTCTCCCCTGGAACAGCCCAGGGGAGCAGGCGAATGAACTTGGTGGCGTCTTGAATGAGCCCGTCCAGCTTGCTTGTCTCGTCAGGGTCAGATATCGACGCAATGCCCTCCCATTCGCATCGCACTCCGTAGGGGTCCCTATAAGATTCCATGAATCCTATAACGTGTTCCACCCGTGGGGAGCGGTCAGTCGCCCAGAGACGCTGTGCGCTAAAGAAGTGCTCAATATCACCAGTCTGGAAGTACTTAATATTCTCGCGCGCCAAAGAAGCTTGTGTCTCGTTGGAGGCGTACTCGGCCGCCTTTTCGAGTTCCTCACAGACCATGGAAAGTTCCGCGGCGTGACTGCCACGCGTGACCCTGTACACTGCCTCGGGCGTTGTCTCTAACGTGATAGGAGCGGAATCCTCGACAGATGCCTGAACAATGTCAAAGACGGGTGTCGCCTGCATGTGGTCAATCCATTTGTGTACTCGGGTATTTTCAGGCTCGATATGATGCTTCTCCATGATATTGGCCACCACACCTATCTCTTCAACCGTGATGGGCTCATTTCCAGAGTAGTACGTTGACTGAGTTGTCTCGCCGGGGTAGCCCAGGTGGTAGGGCGGAACGGCGAACATTGGTTCGATGACATTCTCTAAAGCACGAGTAGCCTTCACGGAAATCTTCGCCATCTCTCGGAGGGCGTCCGGTGCGACCTGCGGCACCACCTTTCTGTCTCCCATTGCCTTCAAGCTGGTCAGAGTCATATTCACGCCTTTGCCAGTTTTCTCCTCGGGCGGGTCTTGTCAACAACTTACGTAGTAGTTCCCCAGGTGGGCGAGGAACTGCGCTGCAAATTCCAGTAGAGCATCGACATCTTTCTGCTTGGCGCCATGGGCATCAACTAGTCGTGACCACTGCCCACCACACGCTTTGTGTAGCTCCAGGATAAAGTCGTATATCCCTTCGCTCTCGGGCGAGGTCTGTCGCATGACGATTCTGCTGCCATACCAAACAGCCCTTCCGACATGGTGAGCATACAGTCTTTCACGTGCGGTGAGACGATTGAAGACTTCCTCGATCGTGAGCTGATAGACCGGCGCCATGCTCGTCTGGTGGAATTGGGGCTTATTAGTCTATGTGGTTTCTGTTAGCTTGCGGTATACGCGCCAATAGAGCAAAACCCGCAATATGGGCGATGCCATTCGCAGCACCCTGATGCCAACCAGATATTACCTTGTCTTTTCGGGTGACTCAAGGCATTGCTTTCCATGCTTTTTGCAGCTTTTGCGTCACAACGAGAGGTGGGACTGGTAGACCGCCAAGGCAACGGGAACAATTGTGTTGCCTCGTGTGGCTGGGTCACAACATTGGTAGCAGTTACATCGAAGATGATGCTACAGCATGACCCAGTAGGAAGATGCCACGTCAGGTATTGCATATTTGAGTGCACCTGACAATACTTGAGGGGAAGGTGCAGGCAGTAGTGATTCTCCAGACAGCCAATCAGGGGCACATGCAATTCAAATCCCGTATGCATGATCACTATCTTGTACCTCTACATCAGTCAAGTATTGACCTGTACCTGAGTGACAACCCTGCCTGAAACAACGGGAAGGCGCAGGACGGGAAGTGGTGGGAGGCTTATCTAATTAGGACATCCGCGGATGAATGGAACTCGGTGAACTTGGTGAGTTTGTCGTCCGGCCAACTTGAACAGCACAGGGATCCTCTCTGGCACCAATAGCGAGATTCATGGTACGCCCGGCTCTCTGGACCATTAGGATTCGACCGCCCGTGTTAGTTGATACGTTCGCTGCACCTCCAACAGAATCAAGACGGCATGGAAACGGCCGAGCTGTGAGTGTTTTGCCCTTGCCATTTGCCGCCGGAAAAGACTCAATATGATGGCGCAGAGCAACGTTTTTTGAGGTCAACTGGTCGCAAGAAGTGTCGAGATGCAAGGCTTCGGTAGATCAAGACGATTTGGAGACCATCCAGCGCTTCAAATCCTGGGGCGACATTAAGGATGAGCTCATCGGCAGTTTTCCCCCATCAATAATCCTGATACAACCAGCTCTCCGCCATTTCAACGACTTCTTCGCGTTCTTCGAAACGAAGCTTGGCCCCCGACTCGACGCCTCGTATCTCTGGGGTACTATTGCCTGCCTCTCCCAGGTATGTATTGACAGTATTCATCTCCTCCTCCATTCCTGTTCGCATACGCCGTATTTGTACTAACAGGCTCCAGCTGTGCACAGAAGACCAGAACCTCTTGGCCAAGATTCCTCGCATGATCAAGTCCCTTGCTCATAGGGCCGAAACGTTCAATAGGTACTGCGGGGATGCAACGACTGTAAGCCACACCATCCAGGAGGCCTGTTTCGACATGCAGATTCAGTTTGCCGAGTTCTTCACGAATGCCATAAGACACATCCATGGTTTCGACGAAGAATCCATGTATAGTACGTTCATTACTATTGCACCAGTCGATCATTATACGTCGTGACCTTGCTGACCATGCCTATCGTCGCGAATCAGAAGCGGAGACGCCTCTCCAGCTCATCGAGCGGCGTTTTGCACTGACGAACCAGGAGCTAGGAGAAGCCGTGGCCAGAGTAGAAAAGCTTATTACTGTAGACTCCTCGTTGCACAAAGGAATGTCGCGTATCAGTGGGCTCAGTCGATGCTTGATGATCCCCGCAACAAGAACCACCCGTTTCTTCAACAGGATCGATGTTCTCCAGGATGTCGACAGGCTGCTCGGACGAGTCACAAAGGAAACCCCGTTTCGATCCGTTGCTATCCATGGTATGGCCGGGGTAGGGAAGAGTAGCATTGCTTCGACCTACATGGAAACGCGGTACAAGGAGAATGTATATGACGTTTGTCTTTGGGTGCGAGGCGAAAAGTCAGCGTCGTTGAGGCAAAGCTTTACGGATATTGCACTAAGACTCAAACTCCCTGGCGCGCACCGGCAGAGTCCGGATGACAACTTGAATCTTGTTCAGGACTGGTTTCAGTCTACAGGTAAGAGAAGGATGATGAAGCAGTCATGACTTACCCCAGGGGAACAGTGATAGGCTGACTTGGACGGATAACAGAGAGTGCTTGGCTGGTCGTATACGACAATGTCGAGTCTACAGATATCCTCATGCCGTACTGGCCCGTATCAAGCAAGGGCCGGGCAATCATCACCACTCGGAACCAATCTCTCGCTTTCGAGCCCGCTTCTGAAGGCCTCGAGGTGAAGTCGTGGGACGCCATGACCGGATCGGAATTCCTCCTATGGCTGCTCAAGAGAAACATTAGCATGGATCTAGAAGCAGAGAGCGATTCAGCCCTTGCCCTTTCGCAGCGACTTGGCGGGCATGCCCTGGTGATTTCGCAGTTGGCTTGTCTGATACACAAGTTCAACTTCTCCATCCGTGACTTCATGATCGTGTATCTCAAGAATCCTCGGATGGCACATGAAAGGGGGGAATTCAAGGCTATCTGGGAAATATCCTTCCAGTCGCTCAACGAGGACTGCCGGACCCTATTGGGCATCGTTTCCTTCCTCATGCCCGACAGCATTCCCCACGAGGTCCTTGGAGGTGAGGTTCATGGGGATCTTCCCGACGATTTGGTCTTCTGTCTCAATGATGTTAGGTAAAGTGGCAACCAATTTCCTCCCCTTTATCTTCTTGGTGTGTCGTCCTGACTAGTGTCTGGTGCAGGCTCTTCCAATGTCTCGGCATCCTCTCCGATCTAGGATTGATCAAGAGAGACATCGAAACGGGCACGCTATCAACACATCGAATAGTGCAGACGCAGTTCAAGTACTTCTTAACGTCGGAAGAGCGCCAGAAAAGCTTCAACAACACAGTCTTGCTTGTAGCAGACGTGTTCCCCCCCGAAGATACCAAAGCTGGCCAACTCTACGAGCGATGGGATGGGTGCAATCGATATATCCAGCACGCTATCTCGTTAAGAGACTGCTTTTTGGAAGAGCAGAAGACCACAAAAGATTTCAAGCCCTCCTGGCAGTTCTGCGATTTGCTGAACAGGTGTCAGCGGTCTGCCTCCCCAATTCCCGCCCTATGCGAACCCTCAATACTAGGGGGTTTCAACGGCAGTTTTTGAAATGAGCTGACACTGTCCTTGTTAGGTACTTCTTCGAGATCAAGGCCGCAGAAGATTGCCAGAAGACATGTGACGTGAATCACATTGCGGTAGAGCAGCTTGAGGACGGGCCCCGGAAAGAAGACTACAAGGCAACTATCCTGTCCCACGAAGCCCAGATGGTCGAGTCCTTGGGCGATGCAGAGAGAGCCATCCGCCTCAATGAGAAGGGATACGTTATACGGCTCGCAGAGCGGCCTCGCAACAAAGTCGTCCTCTGCTACACCGCCGCCAATCTTGGGTACTGCTATAGCGCGGCCAACAAACCCGCAATTGCCGTTGAGTGGTTGGACAAGGCACGCGAGTGGTGGGGAGACCTGCCCAATTTTCCGCTCAACATTGTGGCGAACAAGGCGAGGTGTTTCATTCAGCTCGGCGAGTTTGAGAAGGCCAAGAGTCTCGCGGACTCTTGTATGACCGAGATGCAGGACGTGGACAGGGTCAACTGGGCCACCCTTGGCTAGTAAGTGCGGCCCGATCCCTTCACATTCGTTAAGGACTGCTGATTTTGACCCTTTCAATCTGTAGCGGATACTTCCTGATGGGCGTGTATCATCATCGGGTGAAAGAATTCGAAGCAGTCGAGCAACACTTTGTCCAGGCGCAAAATGCCTGGCTGAAGGGTGACCTCACGAGGCTCCATCCGTTTAATGGAGGCTGCATGTATCGAATCGGGCTAAGCTGTCTCTACCAGGGCAAGGTCGAGTCCGCAATGTGAGTTCTGCTACTGTGGAGGCTCCCTCATCACGGAGCATGGCCACATGAATCTCCTTGTAGACCTCACATCTAATGGCATCTTAGCAAACACTTTAACGACGCGCTCGTAGTCACCAAGTTGCATCGGAATACAAGGCCAGTGGAGCATGCCCGAGTTCTCTTCAAGCTCTCAGAAGCGCTACTGCAGGATGGCAACCAGTCCAGCGACCAGGAGGCGTTGGCTATGCGGGACGAAGCTGAAGCCTATCTCAGAATGCGGGATCCGAATTTCTCGGACTCTGGTACAGAGGACACGTATGATAGATTGATAACTATTTTCTGGAGATAAAACTTGTTCTAGAGACATTGGCGCGAATTATTTGTAATCTGAGTATAGCTCGTGATCTACAGTGCAACAGAACTCTAACTGCAAAGCTCGGGCGACGTGAATGCTTTGACATCTTTCTAAGGCGACATACAAATGAAACCAATCTCAATGCCTCATTCTACCTTTTAAGGGGATTTAATGGCATAATACAGCTGCGCAGCGCCGACACTCAACTGCAGAAACGATAGTAGAAGACTCGCTCCGCCAACCCAAATGACCGCCCAGAACGTGTACCATTGCAGCGGGTTCCTCTGATCGCGCCACAGGTCCCTCAACCTACTTGGCTGCTGACGTAGGTTATAGCGCTGAAGGGATAGGAGCATGTGGCCGAAGATGGGAAAATGGTCTCGCGCAGAATAGGTGTTGAGCTCCTGCAGCTGCCCGTTGACGTCAATCGCCGACGCGGGGAAGAGACAACTGGGAAATCCTGAGCCAGGCCTCTGCCAGGGCCAACGCGGGCTAGGGGATTGCGTGCATACAGTGAGCAGAAATGGGTCGACGGCGGTGGCGTGTGTGTCCTGGAGGGCGAGGGCCTGCAGCAGCAGGGTGCGGGACTTGGAACACCGACCGAATAGTATGCGGTAGGACAGGAGGATTTCGCGGTATAGTGCGGCTGGTTGGTCGGACAATCCTTGGCAATAGCCTGAGTAGAAAAGTCTCGCCACGATACTACAGGGACGGAACCGAGGTGTCAGCACTGTTGCGCGTGAATGGGGAGGGCTGCGATAGGATAGGAGCATGGGGTTGGAACTTGGGGGGCAATCCCAAAGCCCATATGCACGCACTTCTTGAGGACCTTCGGGTCATCTTGGCGTAATATGTTGATAGCACAATGCGAGGGATAGCGGTATAGAGACAAGGTGCGCGTCGAGTGATCGAAGGCCAGGTGCTCGGTCAGTGTGTCGACCCATTTCAGTCTGACCTTGCCGATTGTGTACAAGGAGAAGTAATTCAGGCTCGACTTGTGCAAGACATCGCTGTCGGAGTGGAAGCCTGGCATTGGTCTCGTTGGGGTATCGCCATTGTTTGGCTCTCCCTGGTCTCTGCCCATGTTCCGTCCCCTGAAGGATAAGAACATCTTACTGAGGGGCCTCCGTAAGTCGCGTGTGGAGTATAATTGTGATGAGTTTTCCGCGGTGAGGCAAATGCTCTGTGCTGTTGTTGTCACCGGTGATGCATCCGTGTCGGCCCTCATATACCCATTGTCATCCAGAATTGGTCTTATGGCGGCTGAACACCAACAAAGGACAGCGAACATGGCAATGATGATTTGCTTCTTGTCCTGCATTAGGACGTCGCCTGCTGGAATTCCGGCACGGCGAACCATCTCTTGGAAGGTTCTCTCAATGCTAGTGTCAGTGTCATGAACCTGTAGAGAGTCAAACGAGTCGAGCACCAAGGAGACCCAGTGCCAGAGGTCGATGAGCGTCATGGAATTGCTTTGGTTGAGAATTTTCGAGATAACGGTGAAGCGGTCATTTAGAAGCTCCTTGAGCTGGTCCTCTAGATGGGCGCTGAAGACAGACAATCCAGGCCACTCGGACAGGGCTTGCACTGGAACCCCGAATATCTGTGTGACGGCTTTCTTCTGGTGCGTGCTGATCTGTTGGAAGTTAACTCAGTGAACATACCCAACCATGCGCGGAACAGGGAGGAGAAAACTCAACGACTGCGAGAGTTGTCGTTTGCCGTGATAGGGCCTGCCGGACGACGCTGTGACTCCTTACCTGCAAAATAGACAGCTGGATTTTCTTGGTGCGCTGTGGTGCAGAGGATCTCTTTCATACAGCCAAAGTCAGCAACCACATGAAATTCACATGAAAGACAAATGCGAATGACTGGAAAGCTTACCACGCACAGGGCTCTCCATCTACGAGAAAGACTTTCCCGTATTCCCGAATGACCTGATCCCCAGCTTTGCTGCCCCTCGACATCTAAAGGGAATGAAGCAGAATCTGTGGTAGTTTCCATGCCAGGAGGAATGTTTCTGGTTGAGTGGCAGAGGAAAGCTATGGGCCATGTTCTTTTGAACCGCCTCCGTACTGGAAAGTCAGTTACTAGCAGGATCCCGGAGTTGGACTTGCGTCGGGTCGAGTGGCGCTACAGACGGTCAATTGCGCAGGCGCTTGAATAATCAGCTACAGGGTTATGTCGCATTCTCATCCAAAGCGTCAGCAGAACCGCCGGGAGGTGGGGTTGGAAGAGGTGGCAAGGCATCCAGCTCGGAGCAGCAGTCGTACCCTCTAAATCCAGTCCATTGAGGCCCAAGAGCTGGACAATGATGGCGATGCTTTTTGCAGTTTCGAAGCAGGTCAGTAAATAGGTGCCCGACACGCTCTTGTTCTTGTTAGCACTTTGGAGATCCAATGATAATTTGACAACGCACTGGCTTGGCGCTTACTCGTACAGAGGCCAATCGTCTTGCCTGGACTTAATGCTACGAAGATCCGCATCTTGAAAGGACACAGAAGACTTGACCAAACCGCAACGTCGAGAGGTCATTAATTCTCAAGTACAATATGTCAATACTGGTCAGGAGACTGAACAATGAACATGAGCTGCATGCTGCAACCCCCCCAGAGACCTCTGAACTGAAAGTATCCCGCGCTATCATCGTGATCAATTCCAAGTCCTGCGTGCCTGATCTACTGACTGGTTCCTCAAAAAGCCATTCATTCCTTCAGGGGAAATGACTGATCACTCTTGACGGCTCTTGGATCTGGGTACTTCTGTTAGTAGACTCAAATCTTATACTCAGCTTTACGCACAGCTTTGGAGTTTCCTTGGCGACACTCAAGTCGACGTTCTTCCTGGTAATTGCGACTGTCCCGTGGTTCTTGTCGTTATCATCGTCGACGTAAACCGCGCCATCTCTGATGTCTTGGCGGCTCCATGGGTCGAGGCTCGAATGCCAGGCCTTCCATGGCTGGGGAAGTTCGGACTGCTTAGCCTCAGATGGCATGGCGACTGCTGTCAATACCGAGACTCTGCGGGTGTGCAAGGACTTTGGAATTGTTTGGCTTGCTCCACGTCAAAGCTGAAGGCGATGGTCAGGAATGTGCGGATAGATGACAGGGCCTGGCTAGAAATAGCTTGATGTATGCCAGACACCAATGCGACGCATGTAGAGGCCCGTGGCTTCACACGGGGTTGTGGTTCAGCCTCAAAGTACATTTTGTCCCCTTCTGATCCGATGACCGTGACGCCCTCACATCCAAATATTGATTGAAGGCGGCACCACAGGGCGAGGCTGTCCGCACGCGGGATTTATCTTCTGTGGGTGTTCACGGAGCCTTGTCTTGATGTTGAAGTGTGGCAGCCTAGCATGCCAATGGCCAATCAGATTGTTGTAATATCACAGGGGTCACGATGCTCTGTACATGTAGACATGACGGTGATACCACCCTATGTTGGACTTGCATGCATGTGACTTGACCGCTGACCTGGTACAGGTACAACGATCAGCATTCAATCTGGTACTCCGATGTCTTTAGTGATTTGGATCGACTGAACTGGTCTGTTCTTATTGCCTTAATCTGTGTCTGGTCGTTGCTGCTGTAACATATATCATTTGCCCCGTGGCGATGGGCCAATTTAAAGGAGCTCGCATCGACTATACCTCCCTCGAGTCCAGCATAGTCATACAGCCTTCATGTCACAATGGAGACACATATACAATACATAATTCGCGACCCCATTCTGCGAGTCGAAAAGGCTTTCACGACTGACTTTCCTATCGACCACGTTAACGGAGTAGAGGGGATTCGCATGCAGAATATCCACTGGGAAAAACGACAAGTCATTGTGGAAGAGATTGTCGACCCAAGGTCCTGGAAGCTGGATGTTCATGGATTCTGTTTCCTTCGTGCCGAGACTCGCCTGGACCCTGAGAAGGCATATAAGCAAAAGGACGAGGTGAAGGATGCGTTCTGGCACGAGATCGAAGCTATCTTGCATCATCACTTCCCGCAGTACTCTAGGATCGAGGCTTTCGATTTTACGGTGAGCACCCTTAGTCCATTGGCCTGGCTCCAAATACCTCTTACTAACAATCCTCACTAGCTAAGAAAGAGGGATCCAGAGTATCCAGTGAAAAATAGGGGATATAACCCAGAATACGAGAACCCTTCCGGAGGGGCCCACGCAGATTTCTCTCAGCAGGGAGGGCCTCTGGTATTACAACACTGCTTCCAGGGTCAGGACAAGTTTTGGGAGGGTAAGGATTTCGACATGATTAAGTGAGTTCAGTGAAATGCCGGATATTGGGCAAGCCTGAAGTTTATATTATCCGTACATTAGCGTTGCTAACTTTATGACATTAGTGTCTGGCGCCCCCTCCGAGGCCCAACAGACGACTGGCCTCTGGCAATGTGCGATTATACTAGTATCTCCACTAACGACGATCTTGTCCTCAACGATGCTATCAAGAGAGACTTAGTCGTCGAGTGTTCCCTCATGCACCACAGTGACACTCACAGGTGGCATTATCTCAAAGACCATGATGTGGATACTCTGCTTGTATTCCGTAACTCTGACTCCCTCGGGAAGCGCGCGAGTGAGATCTACCTGTGTAAACCTTCTAGCGCTGGTAATCTTACTAACATACTACAGGGGGGTTTCACGCCGCTGTCTGCAATCCGAACACAACAGGCCCACCGCGCGAAAGTGTTGAAGTTAGGCTCGTGGCTTTTTATTGACTATATGTACCCGGGTAATTTGTCCTCGGTATCACTATCACTTCCAAAGAGATCGTCTGTCGTAAGCTTCATAAGTCGTGTTCATTGAAATATACCTGGGTAGTCCGCGCACCGGCCTGTTGCCTCATACCTTTCAAAGCGATGAACGAAGAGCATAACTCGCGCTGTGTCCGTACGCCGTGATCACGACCAGAAACACACAAGAAAAAGGCTTCACTAAGGGACAGAGCTAGAGACAGACTGCAACTTAAATATAGCGTGAGACTAAAACTTTAATCTTAAGAAATTCGTCTGTCTGCCCGAAAACCTTGAATGGCCACTATTAACTTTGAGAAGGACACGTTCACAATATCTGAGCAAACGGCTCCTCAATATTTAAGGGCTCTCTTCTTGTTCCGTTCATTAACTTTCACACCTCGCAATTCATCTTCCTTCGCAACATCTTGTCTACCTAAGCTATCCCTCACAAAGACTTAGCCGCACAGTCGACACACGAGTATTATCACTATTCTTGCCATTACGAAGAGCGGAAATACCATACAATGCCTGTCTGGAGCAAAATTTCCAACTGGATCCGCGGATCCCCGGAGTCGGAGCGTCACGACCCCCCTCCTTACTATCACTCGCTGCCAGACGCATCGCAATCACTTCCCTGCTACCATAAGCGACGTTCTTCTCTTGCCAGCACAGACACCGAGAATATCTCCCAAGCAGAACCATCAACCAGGAGAAAGGATCGGGAAGGCCATCCCTCGACTACTGTCCATAAGAAGAAGCCAGTGGACTGGTCTAAATCCAACGTTGTTATGTCATTCGAGCAGAACATTCACAATCCGCGCCAGGGCTGGAAGGCTGTCCTCGAGTTAACGGCTCTCGATGTTCCCAGGCTCTTGTGGGAAGGCCTCCACTGGACCGAGGCGAACCTGGACAAAGAGGCTGGATACGTCGTTACGAACGGAAATCCGGGTACGTCTGATTCCCGAGCTTTCATCCTTTGGAGTGTGCTGCTACCGGGTGTATTTCTTCGAGGACCTCGGGGAGGAACCACAGTGGACGGCAAGAATGTTGGTCTATGCCACTGAGCTGAACCAACTCTCGCCATTCCGATTTTCGGATCTTAAGATTGAGCAGATGACCGTGTGCTGGGCATGTCGTGCTGATAATCTCAACATATATACCTTTCGACGTACGCCGGAGTCCGCCAGCTATGTCAACACACTCTATGACGACATGCCGTTGGATGGGTGGTGGCCATTGCCCAAGGCGTCAAAGGCCAGTGACTGTAGCGACGCCTCGTTTATACACCTTTAGGAAAGAGAGGGCAATATCTGAGAACAATGTAATGAATGACAGTTAGGAATAAATCATATATGTGCTTTGGATACAATACTTTATGCTCCCGTTTCTGTTGTGACGGAGGCCGCTTCTATTGTAATATCGGGCATTGACAACGCAGACGCATAGATACTGAGCAACTATTCGACACTGGATTTGGTTGAAGCCTCCGTAATTTTGTACATGAAAACGATCATTTGTCTCTGCCACACCAACGATCTGGACGCCCGGTATCTTCTTTGGTGTATGGCGGGGTTGTCTGAAGCCGCTGGGTTTTATTGATACCACGGTTACAGTAGGTATGGTAGATAGGCGGCGAAATTCACCGCGAACACAAAGACAATGGCGGCCCAAACAAACGCCAGCCCCTAGTCGCCCAGCCACCCGTCCAACTCCACCTGCCACCACCCCTCCTGGGGCCCCCCGACCCTAGGCTGTTGGGGTTCCTCGACTGGGACCGCGCAACGGTGACTGCATGGTGTTATTGACAGCACTCAGTCTGTAGAGGGGACATTGACTCACAGAGTAGCCCAGTTGCGCCGGGACCCAGTATCTTCAGCCTGAAGCTGTGCCCCTAGGGGGAGGAGCTGGCGGCGGCGGTGGTGGTGGTGGTGCCGGCGGCGCCTCTGTTGGCCCGAGTGACCTGGCAGAAATTGAAGATCCGTGCGCTAGACAAAGGTGAGTATCTTGCAGACGTCGAATGTCGGAGGTCTTGATACACTTACAGTGCCATTGTGTTATTGATGTTGACAAAGACAGGGAACAAACAAGGTGTTGCAGTGCCATTGTGATGTTCGTTGATGTGAAGGGAGAAAGGAATAAGAGCGGGCGAGTTCCGTCTCGGAACCATATATGTGTCAGAATGAGCGGTGCTGATTGGAGCGAGCCTAAGTGTTGTTTACCTAGTACTTACCTCACGGTACAGGTAAGGTACCTTACCTTCTAGTTTCCCTTACTTTGGGGGTTACTTGCCTTCACTAACAGGCTACCACAGTACTTGCCTTGCTTAGTACTAAATAAACTCACATTGCTGCACACAATACCTACCTACTACCTTGATTGGTTGACAACAAAAACATCAGCAGGTCCTGGCCTGGATTGAACTTCCACATTAGAGAATGAACTTGCTTCTATTAGCAGTCCATGCTCGGGCCAAGGGCCGACAGCTAAATGAAACACTATGCATTCTCCAGCCCCCAAATTGATGAAAGTCTATAGAATCGAACTGTTCTCAGAGGAGTTGTGCCATGAGCCTTCCCCTGGCCATCTTATTGGCCTCTGCTCATTCAGGTACGTCGGTGCCCCTGACTTACATACGCACGTCTTCCCCGCCGGCAACATTCTCACGGTGGCATTGGCTTCGTGCGCCTCCTCCGCATAGATGGCCATCGGGGGATTCAGAATGCGGTCCTTCGCCCGGGCGGCGTGCCGTTCTTGCCGGATTCTCGATCTCTGCCCGCGGTCCAGAACGCGGGATTTGCTAACAGCTCCTCACAACTTTGGGGGCGGTTTCTCTTAGTGAATGACAGCCATGATATCTTGAGCTGCCACTCAAGTATAAATTCAGCAGTCGAACCCGACTTATGTCCAGATCACCAACCCAAACAGTCTCAAGTTCAGCTAATCAGACCTCCGCCACCATGCACTATTCCACCCTCAGCAAGACGCTCCAACTCGCCTTCGTCCTCTCTACCCAGGCCATATCTCTTCCTGTCCAGGGCAACGAGGTTGCGCTTCCCGAGGGATACACAGAGTCCCCTCTTGTGTGGGAGCTTCAGTCGCACCCCGACGGCGAGACCTTCTCCATGGAGGGCACAGTTGAGCAAGTTCACCAGGAGCTCACGCGTCGCAACCCCAACTACCTGGCCGACTTTGGTATCGAGCTCGACGAGCGCGACGATGACAGCAATGACGCTCTCGTCACGCGCGACACATGCCACAGCGAATGGCATTCCATCGTCTGTGGCTGGGACTCTCCCATTGCCGAGACCAAGGCCATCCGGGCTGGCATCAGCTACCTGCGCGGCGTTCCGGGCAAACCTCACTTGGGTGCTGGCCCGGGCAACTGCAGCCGCGTTAGCTGCTCGTATAGCTCGGCCATCTACTGGTGCAATGACCGTAACAAGGCATGGTCACTTGGAAGCTTCAACAGCATCGCCAAAGGCGCACAGGTATGGTGGAGACTGACTAGTGAGAGATCTATGCTGACCAAGGACTTTTATCAGTGCATTTACAACGATTGCCAGGCCAATGCCAAGGTCAAGGGCGAAGCATCCGCCAGGGGTTCCGCATGGCGCGTCATTATCGCCCATGCCAATTGCTGAAAGTCGAGCGCTGGAAGTAGACCATCCTGTTTCTCTGGGCCAAGGAAGGGTCGTATTAGACGCGAGAGGGGCAAGCCGTTCGATCTCACAGATTAGTTGAGCATGAGACATGGAAACATACATAGATGTTCAATTCAGTAGCCCATATAACAGGCACGCCTCGCGGGCAACATGCATTTGTCGTGTTTGACAAACATTGCCAGCTCACACCATGTGGGTTGCCGAGAATTTGACAGAATAGCCAATCGTCTGCTGGGGAGGTTGGCAAGCAGAATAAAGTGATGGCCCGTGGAACGGTCCAGAATCATCTCTCGCAGTACTGGTGGGCGGTGAATGAGGCGAATTTGTGACGTTGGGATGGAAACTTGCAACGGCTTCAAGATTCACTCAGTTGCGATTCACTTGCCTGAGGAATCAACTGGTGTATTTTTTCCCAATACAAGTACCTCTTCTCCTCTCGATCAGCAACTCAACTCCTTTTTGTCCTATGCCACTCATTATGCCCACTCGCACACAAATTGGATGCCACGAGAACACATCAGCGACTCAACGGAGCTATACTTGCGAGCCTGGCTGCTGTCTAAAGGTTCGTCTGCCAACTTTCCTTCCCCTTTCCCCTTGTCGTCCTCGTACATGATGAACTATACGGACGGGTATGCCATTGAGTTATGTTCTTCTCTTCCTGTTCCCAAGCGCAACAGGCAATTAGGCATACGTGATGATTGTCTTTCATTCTGATCAGACCCCGGTCTACATGTTTCTATTGGAGTTCGGTGGATGACAAACGCTGACATCTTTCTCTATGAAGAAACTGGAGATGGGAGAAGAAGCGAGGATAATTATTCTCTATCTGAAGAAAAATGGCGATTCAATGAAGAGAAGGTAGAGCGCGATAGCGCGAAGATGACGCCTTTCGCTGTGGGCCGAATGTGTGGCCTGACCAGACAGCCTGGCCAACAACACTGGGTTCCTCCCAGGTCACGCGAGCGAAACCCGGTTACAGATCATCAATCAGAGGGCTCAATCCTTGAGGTGTTCCAATCTTGTCCTCAAAGAAGAGCTTGAGCCTTTCGACACGAACTCGATCGCCCATGAACCGCTCGAATTCGACAGGGTTCGTGGAAGGAACGTCCATAATACCAGGATACCCCGCGGGAGCAGGGACATTCTTCAAAACGCTCCAGCTTCCAGTGCTGTTTTGGTGTTCGTAGCTCAACATAAAGTTATGAAGCAACTTGGCGCTTTCTGGGTGGGGAGCATCCTTGAAGATAGCCGCACGCTGCGGCCAAGTGACGAAGGATCCTTTGGTGGGGATCGTGACATTCAAAGTCTCCGACGACGAGAGGCCCATGCCCGCAGTGAAAGTAGCAGCGATAGTGCTGTTAGTGGCATTCAACAGCGTCAGTGGAGTTCCTGTTCCACGGACCCAACGCGGGTTCTGCTGAAGAAGCTTCTCGAACCATTCGTAGCCGAACTCCTGCATGCTAGGGTCCCGCGTCAGTATCGTGCCTCAGGCGCGCGCAGAAAAGGGGGTAGCGGGCTGGTGGACTCACATCAAATCAAATGCGTAGAGGACCGCGTCGTCGTCATTGGGGTACGTCAAAACCAGCTTGTCTTTGAACTCGGGCTTGAGGAAATCCGCGAATTCGCGCGGACCTTCAGAGAGTCGGTCGTTGTTGGAGATGAAAGTCCAGGCGAAAATCGAAACTCCGTACCATGCAGCCCGAATGTCTCGGAAGGCGGGATGGGTGTTATCAAAGTTCAAGGGCGCGTAATGGAGCAACGCACCCTCTTGGTCCCATCTGGGATAGTCCTGAAGGGTCTGAAGAATGATGCTGTCCACGTAAAGGCCGCCAGTGGATAACTGTCGGTCAATGTTGCCGTCGTGATATTTGGAAACGTCGACGGTAATGTTCAGAGTCATGCCGGGGAAACGGGTCTCGAAAGCTTCCTTCAACCCGTCCTGCTGGTTGGTTTCATCGCCGCCATGCCAGCAAGTGACTATCCCGCCCTCCTCCAGAGCAGCATGATAGATTGCTTCAATTGTTCGATTCTCCTGGATGGGTGCTCCGTCAAACTTGACCAGAGTGTCATAGGCACAAGAGCCAGCGACTACGAGGGCCGCACTGAAAATTGTCCGAAGCATGTTGTTGGTCCGTGGAAAACAAGCGTGAAAGAAGTGGCTGGTAGAGATGATGAGAGGAAGTTTCCTAGAGTATTGGCCTTGCTGCCCTTAAATACAAATCTCGCATCGCTACTTGCTCAGGGACATCGTTACTAGGCCGGCTTATCTGGCTCCTGTGATGGGTACAAAGTTGGATTTCCAAGCCATTGCAAAGGTCAAGCAGAGGATCACCGCTCGAGAGCTGAACATTGTTCAGACTAGAGTCAGCGAAACGGGGCAAAAGCGAAATTACTCAAGAATTACCAACTTCTGAGAAAGCCCGAAAGGAGTCTACTTGTCTTTACGAGTAGATAAAGGAAGCTTATGCCATGCACACATAATATAGCGTCATTACAAATGATAGTCAAGCATTAGTAACGTGTGGGAGTCGGGACAGTGGGATACCGAGGAATTAGAGCCACATTCTCTCCGACGGACACGGAGCGAAGGTATTTCGACTCGGTCCCGCCAAGCCGGAAGCGGTCGTGAGCAGTGGGCGGCGGGCCCCGGAAGATCGGAACGCCTGCAGCCGGGCGACTATTTCGAGTCCTTCTTCTAATTACCTCCTGCTTTGGTTGTGTGCCCGACCTTACTCAGACATCCCAAGCCTCGACAATATCCGCCAGCGTATCGTCAGTCCCTACATTTCCAGGAAACACCACATACGGCACCCCAGCGTGGCGACTCGTGGCCTCATCGCACCTCCATAGCGGCACACCAGGTGCTGCTTGCCCCAAAATCCGTGCTCGCCGCATGTTCAGCCCCTTGGACGCTGCATCTGACGACGTGATGCCACCCTTGGCGATGATATACCGCGGCCGTGTCTCGATGCCCTGTAGAATCTGTACCAGAGCAATGGCTACTTTCGACCCGATCTGAAGCGACCCGAGCGCGTCAGACGTCTTGACGAGTGTCCGCGAAGTCATGACCAGTATGTCGTGGCCCGAAGCGACCTCTGCATTTGCCGTGGCGGTGGCAGCGGCAATGGTTTGAGATGCCGACTCCTCTGACTTGATGAGATCAGACACGTCAAGTTCCACGACAGCCAGCTTGGACCCTCGTTGCTCACGCAGCCTCTTGAGCTGTGCGGTTGTCTTGGGGACGTAGGACCCGGCCAGGATGAGTCCTCCAGCGGGAGGTGCTGACGACGAGCCTGTGACGGATGCTGGCGGTGACACGGCGTCTATGCTTAACGGGGCGATGCCCCTGATGCCAAGTCTCGACGACACAAACGCTGCCGCTGTGCGATAGAGATATCGCCGTCCAGCCTCTTGCGCTTTGAGTAGTCCTGCGACAAAGACGTGCATATCCGACTCGGCTACTGCATTGACAATGACAACCGCAGTGCCTTGACCAATAGGTCGCGAAAGCAATTTGGCCTTGACGCCGTCTGGCCCTCCCGTGCGGATGTCCTCGAGCGTCACGGACAAGAATGACGATGAGTCGAACCGCGAACCGCACTTCTCGAGGATATACTCTCGTAGGTTGGAGTTCTTGTACCCAAACGTGGCGTCCTGTGCAAAGGGGGTTTGGCTGGCTGGCACCAGAGTCTCGCCCTCTTGGACATAGTGCACGTCGTCTATCGTATACCGGCCCCCTTGCATAAAGAAGGGTGCAAGAATCCAGCCATCGAATTTTCCAAGAGCCTCTTCAGCTGCCAATGGCTCTTCAGGGAGATGGCCTCGGAGCGTGGAATCGCCGCGTAGTACGATTTCGAACGTTTTCCCGGCTTGCTTCGCCGCCTCTTTTATGTTCTGGCAAATCTCCAGGATCAAAGCCTTGGCTTCTGTCGATGGAAGGGCTCGACTATTGGTCAAGATGAAAAAACCCCTCGACTCGCGCTCGAATTGGGCCCGTGTCGTCTCAATATCCCAAACGGTCAGCACGTCAATGTCGTGGCAGGTCTGTGTGCCCGTGGGATCGTCATCCAGCACCACAAGCACAGGCGCGCCCCCACTGTCGACGTACCGACGGTTGTCGTCGAGAACATCTGTTGAGTACTCCTCGGGCAGTGCGGCGAGCGTCTTCTTGGCAGGCAGAGGCTTGATGGGAACTGTCTCCGTTTCTTTCTGCGGTTTGCTTGCCTTGGGTGACGCATTCGCTGATACAGAGACGTCCCACAGACGCACGACACCCGCGTCCGACTCTTTCGCCCAGCCTTTGCTCGCGCCCGCCAGGTACAAGTTGTGTGAGGCTGACGAGATGGGCGCAAAATACCCCAGATTCTTGGCCTCATCCAGAACAATGCCCAGATCCTTGACAAAGATAGCCAGCGCCGAGTGTGGCGTCCAGTCCGCCTCGAGCATTTGCGGTCCTCTGTTTTCGAGCATCCAGCTCCAAGCTGGTCCCTTGCAAGCGAGGTCAAAGACCTCACGCGTGTCGAGACCTAAACGGGCCGCAAGTGCCATGGCCTCGGCCGCGGCCGCAATGTGGACGCCGGCGAGTAGCTGGTTGATCATCTTGACAGATGATGCTGCGCCTACACCACCCTTGACGCGACATAGATTGGTCGGTGTGCCAGTCATGGAGAGGATAGCACTGTGTGCCTTTTCCACCATTGGCTCATCTCCGGAGCAAATGATCTATGAATGTCAGTATCTGTGTTAATCGAACTATATGTAGAAGGGCATCATCGCCTCACCATCAGCGTACCGTTCGCGGCGCGTACCACACCCCCGCTCACGGGACAGTCGAGCATTCCGATATTGCGGCCCAAGTCGCCCAGCATCCCTTTCAACTTGCGCGCGAAAGAAGGTGGCACCGTCGAGGCAAGGATAACAACGGCGCCGTCGGGGAGAGCAGCGGCGGCCTTGCCGGAGCCGAAGAGAACATCTTCTGCCTGCGCGGCGTTCTGAACCATAAGCAGCAGGATATCAGCATCCTTTGCAGCCATGGCTGGTGATTCGGCTGCGGTCGCCTTTGCATTTGTGGACACAAACTTGTCGATGGATGGCTTCCACACGTCGTAGCCATGCACGTCAAAGCCTCCTCTTGCAAGCGAAGCGGCCATGCCCTGACCCATGGCACCGAGGCCGATGAAACCAACCTTAGCGATCTCCACTGGTGTTGTGACAGGCGTCAGCTGGGCTCCGTCGTGAGCCGTTTGCTCTATCTTCGAGGTGACATGACCGTCTTGGAGGAAAAGCTTGACAAGAGCAGCGTCGTCCTCGCTCCCGTAGCCTTGCGCAGCACCAGCGATGTACAGTTGCTCCACCACTGACGCCACCGGCAGAGGGAATTGAATACCACGAGCTGCGGCTATCACGGTTCCCTGCGTACGGTCAGCCCTGACATTTCACACCTCAGAGATACATGGTGAGTGAGACAGACCATGTTGTCCACAGCCGCGTCCAAGGATGATCGTGGCGCCCAATCCTCATTGAGCATCTGTGGCACGCGGTCTTTGAATGACCACGAGCTTCCTGCTGCATTCTTTATGATGTCGAACACGTCCCTTGGGGCAAGCCCAGCCTTGGTGGCAAGACCAATGGCTTCAGCTGCTGCTGCAGTGTGCACGCCGATCAAGTGCCGGTGTACCTAGAAGTTCCCTCGCGTCAGTTGACGCTGCGATGGCTAAAAGTTTCTTCTTCGCGTACCAGCTTGATCTTGGCGTCTGTGCCTAGGCCAACAACTTCGACATTGTGCGCCATGATGTCGGGAGTAGGCGATGTGTGGTTTTTTCAGAGATCCCAGCCATCATCACGAGTGATCTCGAGGGCGCCCGACCCTGTTTATAAAGAAACCGCATGCCGATGGGTACGAACAATGTGGGTTGCTGAACTTGGAGTGGACTCTGGAGTCTTGTGAGGTTGACGTGAGGACTGAGGACTCGCGTATCCACGCGGAACGAACACCGCGGGTAGCCCTTCGCCCCGCGCCTTGCTCTCGGTGTTCCTGCCGCGTTTGCACGCGGTCTCCAGACTCCGCATTCCTTCCCCCGACAAGTTGGAGAAGAAGAGCGGTGCTCTGCCCGCGTCTTCGTCTCTACAACCTGCAACCAACACCGACGTCTGATTAGCCAGTTGGCCGACTATCATGAAGAGAGCGCGGTTCGAGGATCCCGCCGGGGCGGCCCACAAGTCCAAGATCTCCAGAAAAGTCACAGCGTGTGAGTACAGAGCATGCCCTGCTGCTGCTACAGTCTGCCTAACCTGTACCTGCAGGTCAACAGTGCCAGACGCGCAAGGTCAAGTGTGATCTGGAGCCTGGCCGACCGCGATGTGCACGCTGCGAGCGTCAAGGGCTCGAATGTGTGGTCAACAGGAGTCTCCAGACACTGCTGGATGCCGAGAACGAATGGAAGCTAGGCGTTGAGCAGCAGATTTCATCGCTGCAAAATACAGTAACGGAGCTACAGAGGACGTTGGCAAACATGCAGGCTCATCAACATGGTCCTCACTCCACGCATGTTATTACTCCCGTGCTGCCTCAACATATTATCAGTCCTTCTACAGCACCCTCCCCAAGGAGAGTGCCTGCTGTCACGGCCATGACGCGCGAGAACTCGCCCGAGACAGCGGTGGTAGAGACTGGCGTCGGTGGTCCGATCGGGGAGAGCACGGACAGGGGCATCACGGACGCTCCCATGGCCAGTCTGTTCGAGGTGACCAAGTTGCGCAACATCAGGAGCGACCCAGGCTCTCACAAAGCGATCGCGGGTCAACCACGGGAACCGGACTTTATCGACGAAGGGCGTGTGCCCCTGGAGCAGGCCGAGAGCCTATTCAACGCCTTCAAGGGAACATTGAATGCCTATCTTTGGGGTGGCATCGCCCTCACGCACGATAGCCTCTCCTCTGCACGAGAATCTTCACCGCTGCTAGCTGCTGCTATCCTCGCTGTTACGGCTCTTCATGCACAGGACAATGGGAGCAGCTTTGACCTTTGCTATCCAATATTCCTTGAGCTGGTCAGTCAATCCATGTTCAAGCGCTACCACATTCTCGACGACGTCCGCGGCCTCTGCATTGGCGCCTTCTGGCTGTCCGACGTTAGCTGGAAGCTATCTGGCCTGGCCGTCCGCATTGCCACCGAGCTGAATCTGCACCACTTCAGCGCGTGTGCTCTCGACAAGGAGAAGCCTCAGCACATCGACAAGGCTCGGCTATGGTATTTGCTGTATGTATGCGACCACCACTTCAGCATTGCCTATGGACGACCACCCGTGATCCCAGAGGATGTCACCATTGTGCGGCACGAGAGTTTCCTAGACCTTCCTGGCGCGCAGCAGGCGGACTATCGCCTTCATAGCCAGGTCGCCGTCTTTCGCATCCTCAGCCGCGTCTACCACACGTTTGGGCTGGATCGATCCAGACTTGTGGCCAACGACGAATTCGAGAGCATCCGCCGGTATGATGCCGACCTGCTGCTCTGGAAGAAGACATGGGAGACCCGTCTCAGTAAGCATCACCACATCCTCCGTGATTAGTGCATGCATTTGACATGCTGTGACAGTGCCCGATCCCAACATATCGTATTATCCGGTCAAGGGGGTCACCCTGCACTACGTGCGTACATCAAAGCGCCCAGTACACTACTAGCTTAACTGACCATTTTCGCAGAACTTTGCAAAGTTGCTCCTCTTCGCGGTCTGCCTCCGCGGGCTCAGCCCTTCACAGCAGTACCTCATCTCGCAGGAGCGCCGCATCTTTATCGACAGAGCCATTGAGAGCGCCTCGGCTGTCTTGCGCCTCATCCTCGACGATTCGGACATGCGCAGGGCCATCATTGGTGTGCCGTTGTATTTGCTGACGACCATTGCCTACGCAGCCATCTTCCTCATGAAGGTACAGTCCGAATGGAGAGCCGCAGGTTTCAAAATTGCCTATAACGAAGTAGTGTCTTTGCTGGAGGCTGCCGTGGCCGTGCTGAATGATTGCCATGCGTGCGCGCGACATGTCGCTCACTACCTTGGCAAGGGACTGGGCGCCATGCTCGTCAAGTTCAAGGAGCGCGAGGCAGCATACCAAGCGCAGCAGCAGCCGCAGCAGCCGTGGCTGGATAGTGCGCACTTGGGGTGGAATGAGTGGATGCAGGACGCCGCAGACGTTGCAGAATTCTACCCTTCATGGCTCGACGTGCTCGGATCACAGATGCCAGGGTGATACTCCAGTCTGGTCTAGGGTAGGCACCGCGGGGTAACTTCCGGCCCCCAATAATCTGGAGCGACCACCACACGGACATTGGCCGAGTCACTCTACTGCGGATCCGGATCCCGAACCCGGCGCGGGAAGATGACCGCCCTGGCCCGCTTTGGTCCAGGCTCCAAACTTCGCACAACACCTGGAGAGATCCCCATGGAGATTGGGACTTGTTGGAGTATGAAGACGGCCTTGCGAGTCACGTCACGACTCACCAAAAGTATATAGTCCCAACGTCCCGCATCCCATAACCAGGAGCACCCATCATCATCCGTCATCGCCAGCCTCGACAGGTCACAGCCTCATCACGCTGCGAATCAACCGCCATGGACTACGAGAAAGAGAACGTCTCCACCAAGGAGGACTCCCTTCAAGTCGACACTGAGCTCGCCGACGCCATCCGCAACTATGTTCCCGGCACTACGGAAGAGCGTAAGCTCGTTCGTAAGATCGACTTGCTACTCATGCCCATGCTTTGGATCATGTACATCCTGAACTACGTTGATCGAACCAACATTGTGAATTGCTCCGAGACATCATCGTCACTATCAAGGCCAAGGATACTGACTTGTGAAGGGCAATGCGAAGATTGCAGGCATGGGCGCAGACCTCTCTCTGACGGATGATGAATACGCCTGGATCCTCTCTGTGAGTGAAGCGTGCCTAAGTGATATGGCGAGACTGACCATGGCTAGATCTTCTTCTTTGGTTACCTCATCTGCGAAGTGCCATCCAACATGATCCTAAGCCGCGTGCCACCGTCCAAATATCTTCCCTCGATCATGCTTCTTTGGGGCGCCCTCTGCGCCGTCATGTCCGTGTCCAAAACATACGGTGCCCTCATGGGCTTTCGCTTCATCCTGGGCTGCATCGAGTCCGGCTTCTTCCCCGGTGTCCTGTACCTCCTGAGCTGTTGGTACACAAAGGCCGAGCTGGGCAAGCGCTTCGCCATCTTCTACACGGCCGCCGTGCTCTCTGGTGCCTTTGGAGGTATCCTTGCCGGTGCCATCACCTTCAACCTCGACATGGCGCATGGCATCCGCGGCTGGAAGTGGCTGTTCATCATCGAGGGCGCTGCCACTGTCGGCGTGGCCCTCGTGTCATACTTCATCCTCCTGGACTACCCGCTCACCTCGAAGCGGCTTACTCCCGAGCAGCGCCAGCTCGCGCACATTCGCATCGTCGCCGATGGAGTCTCTACAAATGGTGCCGGTAGTGGTGCTCGCCTCTCCCATGCCCAGGCCTTCATCGCGGCCGTTGCTGATCCTCGCACCTATGTGCTCATCCTGCTCTTTATGCTTGGTAAGGAAATTCTCGCAGTGACATGCGAGCACTTTGCTGACAAACTCTCAGACGTGGGCGCGGGCACCATCTCCTACTTCATCCCCACCATCACCCTCACCCTCGGCTACGATACCACCAAGGCCCAGTACATGACCGTGCCCATCTACGTCGTTGCGGCTGTGGTTCTCAACATTGTTGCCTGGTCCTCAGACCGCCACGTCGAGCGTCGCTGGCACGTCGCGGCCATGCTTGGTCTCGGCTTCGCCTGCAGCGTCGTCTGCGCCGCCGTCACGACGCCCATTGTGCGCTACGTCATGATCTGCTTCGTGGCCGCCGGAATTGTGAGTCTTCCTCCTTACCATAATCCTGCGGACTTGTACTAACAGCCACTCCAGTGGTCTGCCTTGCCCCTTATCCTCTCGTGGACGAGTGGCATCATCAGCCTGCCGCCCGAGAAGCGCGCCATTGTGCTCGCCCTCGTCAACGCATTTGGCAACTTCTCCAGCGTGTACGGCAGCCGCATCTGGCCCAGCACCGACGCTCCCGGGTACCAGATTGGCTTTGGCGTGACGGCTGGCTTTCTGGGGGCCGGTATGGTTGTCGCGGTCTTGATTCCTGTGTTCTGCAAGCTTGTCAACTGGAAGGGGACCAAGGCGGAGAAGGAGCTGCTGGCTGCTACCCAGACGGATGAGTAAGGATGGCTATAAATATTCTATTGGTATATATGCTGGTAAAGAAGGCTGTTTATGACAAATTCTGCGCTTCCCATTCCGATTGAATAATTGTACACGTTGTAGTAGCGCTTATTTGGATGGCTCTTCTCTCGTGTGCGCAGGGGGTTCGTCCACGCTTTCAGAGAGTGTCAGTTATCTTCACTGCCTCCCTTTTGGATGTGGCGCGTTTAGAAATGGTGCCTGTGGAGGAACACATCTAGCTTTCCAGTTTCTCTCTGACTGAACGTTCTTTGTGGCGAAGATTGGACACCCCCTTTTTGCCTCCCCGCCACAGCCACAACTGAAGTACGCTCATTTCTTCAGCCCTTTCCCCCTCAACGGCCCTGCACTATCACGGCTGTCATTCTCATCTCGGGCGTGCATCTCATGACCACTGGCATTGTCCCAATGGTCTTGGTAGTTCCTTTTCGAGTCCAGGTGGCCCACATACCATATAGCAAAGATGAGCATGACAGAAGCCATCAGAAGCGCATCGAAGATGTAGAGGTATACCTCGTGAGAGATGAGGTAGCCCTTGTTGCCTTGGAGATACTCAATAACTCGGAAGATGCTGCGCACAAGGATGATGGCACTCGTCACGTAGAGGACCCATAGATCCCTACGCCAGGGGATGGTGCCACGCGAAGCCTCGACTGTCGGGTACCGGCTCAGACGATGGTGGAAGAGAATAGAAGTGACGACGAAGAACCCAAAGATGGCGATTTGGGCAAAGAGACCGGCGACAATAATATGTTCACCCATTTCAAATAGGTCAAGGGTGCCCGCCGACTGGATCCCGCCGCCTCCTGCTTGTAGAGTGAAGGCCAGGACATCGCCCGTGACGAATATGCGCGTGACCCATCGCACGGGGATCAAGGAGTGATGTTGGGCGTGGACGGTGCGGATGAGACGGCCGAGGATCATGTAGATGGACGCGGCATAGAGGGCGGGCGCGACGAGGATGAGAATTGCCTGGATCACGAACCCGCCGATCGAGAACTTGTCAAAGTGACCCCAAATACGACCGCAATAGCCTATGGTTTGGACTGTGTAGCAAGTGTTAGCAGGAGGCTTGCTCGTCAATTCCCTGGAAGGCTGAAAACCCACAGACGCCCCCAATGGTGAAGGCGATGAAATAGAAGGCACGTGCTCTGTAAAGCCTCCAGACGTGCACTGCTGTCAGTGTCGCGAAGACGATGACGCTCACAATGGCAGCTGGGAGAGACGGCGTGTAGCGGTACAGTTTGAAGTCGATTGCGCCAGCATCCATGTCAGCGGCGCCATGTTGTTCGCTCATTTCAGCGAACTGAAGTTGAAGAGTTGAAAGAGGTGCTTTTCGATTCGTGGATTGTCTCGAAGGGCTGCAAAGGTCGATTTCTGCTGCGAAAGCGCTGGCTTGTCTTTGTTGCAGGACGGACGCAAACCATCTTATAGGATTCTCCCGATCTTGGGCAGCGGGAAAAAAAGAGGCTGTGCCGAAATCATGTGGAGACGTCTATCTACCTGGGTATCTTTTTAATCTCAAGTCAGTAGTCTAGTCTCACTTTTCAGGGAGCTCTCCCGTACATATTATGTGGTGACTCGCGGAGTCGCGTTACGTGTGGAAGAGCTGCTGTCATTCTCTGTAACCCTAAACGGATGTGAGCGAAATACGACATACGACACGTACATACCAGTATGATAGGCCAATATTCACGAAACTCTGGATCCGCAGCCAATCGCAATAGATTTCACCAATGACTCTGCCTCCTGGCTAGGTTACCGCAACATAAACATACATGCCTACATGTACTGTGTTGTTGTTTCATGAGAACCACTCCGCAGTAGTCATGTACAGGGTAGGTACTAGTTGGTAGGCTGGTAGCATAGCTCGGACGGGCACCTTCCCTAATGGGTAATCACCTGGTTTTCGGCCCCTTTTAGCCCCACACGTGGCTCGTACTTCGTATTTGCCGCGCATCCAGTCGCCTCGTTCCTCGTTCTCTCATCACCTTCACTTACCTTAGTGACACTGGTCTCACCCTCCCATAAGTCCCCCCCCATCACGTCTCTTCTCTCGTTCCTCGCGCTTCGTCTGTCGCCCTATCTAACCGACCACGCTGCCCGTTCATGGGCACATCTGCAACATCGCCCGGCGTCTTGGCGCCGCCAGTCGACTCGGAGGGTGGACCAGCCCCTGCCAAAGCTGGCCGTCGAAAGCCGCACAGGAAATCTCGAACTGGGTGTTCTGAGTGTAGACGTCGGCGGATCAAGGTACGCACGCATGCAGGCACCACGCACCCTGATCAGGCGCAGCAATCATTTGCTGACGTACCCTCTCTGAGCGGCAGTGCGGCGAGCAGAGACCCAAATGCTATGCCTGCAGCCGACATGACGTTCCTTGCGTCTATCCAGCAACTTCTCAGGCCACCCGCGTGGGGAACGAGGGATCCGTCACTGATCCTCATGCAGGGTCTCCAGTTTCTGCATCCCAAGAGGCACCCGTGCCGCCGACAGGAGACAGTCGGCGAGACACGAGCACGCCGGGCTCGGCTCCCATTCCCAGCCCCTATGACTCCCGAACAGACTTGAAAGGCGCAGCATGCACCTTTGACATGGATGACATGCTACTCCTGCACCACTGGTCGGTGAGCACAAGCCGGACCATTTATAACTCAGATCAGAGGGACGACTGCTGGCAGGTTGTGTTTCCACGTATTGGGTTTCATGAGCCCTTCGTCATGCACGGGATTCTGAGTCTGTCAGCCTTACACCTTGCCCATGTGAACCCTCGCTGTCGAAAACGGCGGACCATGGACGCCGCTCGTCATCACAACATCTCATTGCAGGGTTTCCAGCGTGCGATTCACAACATCAGCCTCGATGAAATCAGTCCAGCTCCCGTTACGCCGAGCGACGAAGCCAGCGACGCCTTGCTTGCCTGCGCATCACTCAACGTCATTTACACGCTGGCTACGCTCCGTCCCGTCCCTGACGAGGACCTCAACCCGCGTGCCCGTCATTCGCGAGCTCTAGGCACGGACCTGATACCTATTGTCCGTGGGGTAAACACTATCGTGGGACAAGTCTACGAGCGCGTGCGGCTGGGTCCCTTGGGGCACTTACTTGACGTTGGCGTCTGGAACAAGCTCGAGCCCGACGCGCAAACAGACGATTGGCCTTTCCAGCGGCTACGCGAAATGTGGACGCCCGCACAGGCACACGCAGCGGAAGATTCCGTCTACGATGAGACACTACATGTCCTGAGGCGCTGCCGCATGTTTCTGGAGCATCTCGCGACAATGGACAAGGCTTCTCTGCATTGTCAGGGATACAACCGTGGCTGGGCAAGTCCGCTCTTTTTCTTCATCTTTCCACCCGAGGAGTACTTTGTACGTCTACACCAGAGGCAACCGCCTGCGCTTGTCCTGTTTGCCTATTTCGGTACCCTGCTACATCATCTTGACCAGCACTGGTTTATCCAGGGATGGGGACGCGACGTTGTCTCCGTCACTACCGAGCTCCTGGGGGACTTTTGGGAGCCGTGGTTGGCGTGGCCCAGGCGCGTCGTCAATCTCGAACATGCTGGAGTCTAGACTGTCTGATCAGCAGCACTGTAGAAGGCACAGAGCTACAGGGTAGGCTGGCTTACTGGTTGATCCTATGTTATAGGGTAGGCCTGGCATGTGGCCTAGCCAAATGCGGCGTGGTGTGGCATGACGGTGTGGCTGGCCGTCGGTGCCATCAAGCATTCAAGCTCCCCCTTTGCTTCAGCTTGTCGTCGTTCAAGTCACTCATGAAACTCGCTTCAAGACCAGACCATCTCGACCATGGAAGACGGGTTTGACTCATCTGACTTCGAGGAGCTCCTCACCCCTGACGAGGCAGAGAGTATCCAATGGTCCTCTCCCGCGTCTCCAGTGGCGCCCACGCAGGGGCACCCGCCGTGGAAGGGCCATGGAGACCGGCTCGTCGGGATCGTGGACATGGGGAGGTGAGAGAACATCAATTGCGGCCCAGTCAAGTCTTGGAAGCTGATGCGAAAGAATGAACAGCAACGGCATCCGCTTTTCCATCTCAGACCTCTCCCCTCCCCTGACGCGCATCATCCCCACGGTCATGGTGTACCGCTCGTCCATCTCGCTGTATGACGCGCAGTTCGACGACAAGACAGGCGAAAAGGTGCCCATACCCAAGAAGACCATTGATGCCGTGTGCAACGCCTTGCAGAGGTTCAAGGTCATCTGCACCGACTTCAACGTCGCAAACGACCAGATCCACATCCTCGCAACCGAGGCCGCGCGTGTCGCCAAGAACTCGGCAGAATTACTCGCCGCCATCAAGGAAACCACGGGAATCGACGTGCAGCTCCTCGATAAGGAAGAGGAGGGCCAGATCGGCGCCCTGGGCATCGCTAGTGGCTTCATGTCCATGGAGGGGCTGGTCATGGACCTCGGCGGCGGTTCGACCCAGATCAGCTGGATCGTCAGCCAAAACGGCTTTATCAGGACCAGTCCACGCGGCAGCTTCAGCTTCCCCTATGGTGCTGCGGCGCTCACAAAGAAGCTTGCGGACATCCAGGAGGGGAAGGACAAGGAGGAGGCCAAACAAGCTGTCGCCGAGTTTCGGAAGGAAATGATTGGCAACTTTAGGCATGCCTATGCGAACCTGGAGATCCCGCAGATACTGATTGACGAGGCTAAGAGGGACGGCGGCTTCAGCATCTACTTGTCTGGTGGCGGCTTCCGCGGCTGGGGATACCTGTTGTTGTACATGAACCAGACCAAGGGCTACCATTATCCCATTTCCATCATCAACGGGTACGTCGTCGACAGCAAGGAGTTTCAGGACACGGAGAAGATCAAGGAGATTGCTAAGGCGGCAGAGGACCTCTTCCGAGTCTCTGACCGACGGCGGTCGCAGGTTCCTGCTGTGGCATTCCTGGTCAACGTCCTCGCCGAGGCCATTCCTCTTGGTATCAAGGAGGCTCATTTCTGCCAAGGTGGCGTGCGTGAGGGTTTCCTCTTCCGTCAGCTCCCCGTCAACGTGCGCAAGCAGGCACCTCTCGAGGTTGCATCGCGAAACTTCGTACCCGGCAACAGGAAGCAGATCCAACGGTTGCTCGAGAGCGCCATACCCGAGCCCTCCTCAGATGGCAGCAGACGTTTCCCTCCGGGATTCGGACACCACGTCATCGATGCCTTTGCCAACGTCATGTACGTCCACATGTTCATGTCCAAGGAGACGGCCTCGACGGCGGCCTTGTACAGCACGTCGACAGGCATCATGTCCTCGACACATGGCGTCTCACACCAGGATCGCGCGCGGCTGGCCCTGCTTCTCCAGGCACGGTACCGCGGTGAGCTGCCGCCGCGCGAGGTCGACTTCCGCCAGGCGCTACGGGACATTGTCAGTCCCGAGGACGTCTGGTGGGCGCAGTATCTCGGTCGCGTGGGCTTTTTGATTACCTGTCTCTACCCGACGGGCAAGATTCACGCGTCCAGGCCGACGGTTCTCTTCACGGCGGATTGGACTTCGGATGCCGGCAAGGACAAGGACGAGGAGGGTATTGTGCTGACCATTGCGCTGCAAAAAGTCAAGAACGATAAGGCGCACTTCAAGAAGACAATTGAGGATAACATGCGCAAGGTGGAAAAGGCGGGCAAGAAGAAGAATTGGGAGGGAGACCCGGCGTGGGGATTGCGCGTCAAGGTCACGGTGTCAGAGGAAGGGATAATCTAAGGGGGTTGGCTTTAGTATGGCCATTTACAGTTTATTGGAAATTGTCGTTAACTAATGAAAAGTATGAGATTTGGATTGCAAGTCAGCCCAAGTCAATCAGCCAGTAAAGAGACTATGGACGAAACAGTTGGCCGAGTCTCCTCAGCCTCTTCATCGCCCCCCTTGACGGTAGCACCAACAGACGTCACAGATGAGCGTTCGGACTGGGAGAGCCTCAATGGGACAGCCACAAGTGCCCCGACGGTTGTCGAGTTTGACGAAGAGACGTGGATCTTCAGCGTCGATATGGAAGGGCGCCTGCAAGCTGGCAGCCTCGAGGGACGAGGACACGCCTGAGTGGCGGGATAGACTCGAAAACGAAAACTTGGGCGGTGATCTCGAGCTGCGGTACTACTAGAACAATCAACGACGACGAAAATGACTGATTTTTTCCCTTTTGAAATATGATTGTTTCTCATATGTTTTTCACTGGACGAGTGTATATAGTAGTAAACGATATCAATGATACCATGATTCTCCCAAACAAAAGGAACAAAGGCATCTACGCATCTCAAGAAATGGACTGCTCCCCTGCTGTTTCAATGCAAGAATGCTACACGTACAATCATCTTTTGCCGTTCCTCGTCTCTTGACTCGTTCGCGTATCCAAGCAGATCCTTCCTTCCAGCGAACACGAAGCTTCTCTCGGCCCCGGTTCTCCTGGTATCGTCCTCCTTGTATTGGTCCTCCTCTGCGACTTGAAAGCTCGGTGGGGTGTGTCGGATTGTGGTATTGGTGGGTACGGGATATAATTTATTCAGTAAAAGCAAGAGGAGATTGCTCGCTTAGAGAGAAGTCTCCATCTTGTCGAGGATGGCGCGGGTGAACTCGTGGGTGGTCGACTCGCCGCCCATGTCACGGGTGCGGTACTTGCTGTTGACGGTTAGCTCTCAATAGTCTGAAAAACGGTGTACAGAACTTACCCCTCCGCAATGACGGCGTAGACGGCCTTGGAGATGCGGTTGGCGTGGTCGTCGAGACCGAGGTGGCGCAGGAGCATGGTGCCGGACAGGAGCATGGCAGTGGGGTTGGCCTGGTCCTTGCCCTTGATGTCGAGACCGACGTGACGGCAGCCGGGCTCGAAGACGGCCACCTCGCGACCCATGTTGCATCCGGGCACGATACCAGGGCCACCGACCAGCGCAGCACCAATGTTGGAGAGGATACCTCCGTACAAGTTGGGCATGACCATGACGTCGAACTGCTGGGGGCGCGAGACAGCCTGCATGGAGGCGTTGTCGACAATCATGTCGTTGACCTCGAGGGTAGGGTACTCCTTGGCCGTGGCGTGGAAGGTGGAGCGGAACAGACCGTCAGCCAGCTTCATGATGTTGGCCTTGTGGATGCAGGTGACCTTGGAGCGGCCATTGGCGAGGGCAAAGGCAAAGGCGAACTTGGCGATGCGCTCCGACTTGGCGCGGGTGATGATCTTGAGCGACTCGACGACACCCTCAACGCTCTGGTGCTCGAGGCCGGAGTACTCACCCTCGGTGTTCTCACGGATGATGCACAGGTCGACGTCCTTGTGGCGGGTCTCGTAGCCGGGAATGTTCTTGATCAAGCTGACGCTGGCGTAGATGTCGAGCTCCTGACGCAGGGCGACGTTGAAGCTCTGGTGACCCGACCTGTCAATGGGGGTGTGGAAGATACCCTTGAGACCCAGCTTGTTGCGCTTGAGCGAGGCGACGCTCTCGCGGAAGGCAGCCTCGGCCTGGGCGACGTTGCCAAAGTCGGAGACGGCGACCTGCTCCCACTCAATGGGGACGTTGTCGGCCTTGAAGATGGTCTTGACGGACTCGGTGATCTCGGTACCGATACCGTCACCGGGGATCAGGGACACGGTGTACTTGCCGCCAAACTGGGAGGGCTTGAAGATGTCGGACTGGACCGTCGCGAAGCCGCGAGCGGCGAGGGGCTGCTGGACAGCAGCGCAGCGGAGGGCCTACATGGAGTCAGTCGAGCTCTAGAATTGCTCAATGGCTGGTGCGAGACTCACCTGCGCCGTGCGAAGAGATCCACGCGACAGCATCTTGGGCTAATCGAAATGAACTTGTGGCAGAGGAAGAGCGGGTGACGTCGGGATCAGGTGCGAGGCCGGTCCAGTTCAGAGCAGGGCAAGTCTCAGTCGTCGTCGTCGGCGGCGTCGTCGTAGGTCGTCGTCACGGGCACACGAGGGGAGAAGGGAAGGGGATGGGTCGGAAGAAGTGAGGAAGAAAATGTTGGAGAAGTTCGTGGCTTTGGAGCAAATCCCGCAACAACGGCCATACAGACGCGCTCCAGCCTTTTCTCTTTGCCCGACCGACCGACCTCCAGGCTTTGCCGAGCGCAGTTCTTGCCCGTTTCCCACTGGAAGCCGCTTTTAGTGGGGCGCCGTCGACCTCTGTCGGCGCAAGCTCGGTTTGCGACGCGGAAAGCGAGCCCTCGGCCGAGCAAGTCCATGCAATTGGTGCACCCGCTGGAGCGTTTCCACATGTGGATTAGCCTGTCGTACGTTTTAGGATTAGCGTTTCTGTTGACAGCAGCCCGCCGTGGCCTCTTCATGATACCCTGCTTACCCTAGAACGGATACTGCCGCTCTTCGTCGCCAGCCTCACTTCTTGCGTCCAGAGGGCGGGTTTCCCATTCATACTTCCCAAATATTGAATGACAACGATTGTAGTAACGACGCCAGCGTTTACATTTGTACCGCGCGCTGTATGGCGATAAATACCGACCAGCCGGAACTCCAGCCCTGAGCCCCCGGCCCTGTCCTTTGGCCACCTATTATATATACTCATACCTTTATCATCATCATTATGATCATCATCGTCCGTGTCATTGCATATCCTCCTCATCGAGAGGCTCGACTCGGACCAGTATCTCCTCCAAGAGACCCTCGAGAAAGCTGCCAACCTCCCGACCCATGCCAACGGGTTCCGCCTTATCATAGTGATCAATCTCCTTGCACACATGCGCCAGCTTGAAGACCAGCTTCCGCACCCTCTCGTGCGCAGCTTCCGCGCGTTGCTGCTCAGGAGTTTGCGCTAGCCCGGGAGGACACAGCTGTTGCACGCGAATCTGGCGCCGCTTCAGAGCCTCCTCTAGAGCCGGGAACATGACATCGTTCAGCGCATCCAACTCGCCATTGGGGTTTGCGGGCGCTGGTGTGGGAAACGAGTTCGGCGTCGTTGATATCTCGGACATTGGTAGCGGCTTTTGCGCCACAGAAGTTTGAGGAATGGGTGTTGCTCTCGGCATGGACTGTGATGGCACGCGCTGCTGCGCTGGCGATGCACCTCGAAACGGTGGTATCTCTTGCAAGTTCAGCGGGGGAGCATGTGCAGTTGGCGACTGAGGCTGTGGCTGATGTGGAGGTGGTTGGGGCTTCTCAGGGGTGGGTGTTTGCGAATTATCCCCACGCAGCGACGGAGCCAGATTCAGGTTGATCATCCCCATGTCCCTCTGCAGTTGTGCCTGGAGCTCTCGGTCGTAGTCTGGGGACGCTTGAAGCATGGGCGGTGCGTATTTCTGGGCTCGTGGTGTCTCCATGGCATCTTCCCGTTGCTTGCTCGGACTAGCTGGCAAGGGCACCTTTGTGGGTGACATCTGGGCGGGCACAGGCTTCCGTACAGGGCTCGTCTGTCGCGATGTTCCCGTATTGCTACCCGCCTTGAGGGTGTCGTTGGGCTGAAGCGCAAAGTCCCTATTCTTGATGGGACTCGGTTCACGCCGCCTCTCGCCATAATCGTCCGCACTTTCCGCGGTGCGCGATGATCGCGCGTTCGTGCCGTTTTCGTTCAGCGGATTGAGCCCCGGTCGGTGGAAAAGGCCGCCCTTGTCCCCAACCAGCTTGACAGTGCCAAAGTCCCACATGTCCTCGTTCATTCTCTCTGGCTGGACGGAAGCTTGGTTGTGGTACTCGTCGTTCTCGTCGTTCTCATCATTCTTATGCGTCGCTGCCCACCGCGTGTGACGCTCTATCAGCTCGGTGAGGTAGGTCGTCTTCTTCGCCCTTCTAATAAAAGGATGCCGTAGTAAGTCCTTCGCTGTAGATCGATCCTTGGGGTCACGTTGCAAGCACAGCTCGATGAAATCCTTGAATGCCTTTGTAAAGTTGCCTTCTAGCCGTGGGGGTGGGTTCTTGGGAATGAGGAAAAGCACCTTCATGGGGTGAATGTCCGCATATGGCGGCTCGCCGTTGGCCAGTTCCAAGGCTGTGATACCCAATGACCAAATGTCAGCCTTGTGATCGTACCCTGACTGCTTGATGACCTCGGGCGCCATCCAAAAGGGAGTCCCGACAAATGTGTTCTTTTTCGTCATTGTCGCTGAGAGCTGGCCGGAGACGCCAAAGTCGGCGAGTTTGACCTGACCCGTGGACGCGAGTAGCACATTAGCAGCCTTGATGTCGCGATGCAGCTTCTTGTCCGAGTGGAGATACTCCAGGCCCATGAGAAGCTCCCTCACAATGATCGCAATGTAGTCCTCCCCAATATTGCCAGGCTTCATCAGATCGGCGCAGCTTCCTCCCGAACAGAATTCCATCACAATCCATAGCTCGGCGCCGCGTGCGTATGATCCATGGTACTTTGTTACGTATGGCGATTGAAGTTCGGACAGTATGGCGATCTCTTGGATAATATCCTCGACCTCGTCTTCTGCGCTTTCAATATCGATAATCTTGATGGCGACAGCTTGACCGGTCCGTTTATCGACGCTAATCTTGTCAGCTGGTCCTTTGACTCGTCGAGTGCGTCAGCTTACCCTTTGTACACCTTGCCAAAGCTACCCCCGCCTGAGAAAATCAGTCTCGCTGTCGATTCGGCACCATGCTTTCAACATACCAATGCAGTACTCTTTCGTGTACAGCTGCTGCGGGTCCAGGGCCTCGCTCTCCTCGTTCGCCATAGTCTCGCGCCGTCGATCGTTGTGCAAGGGCGGTTGTAGGGGCTCTTTTAGGGATTACTCGTGAACTCGAGTCGTTGGAGGAGGAAAGGTCGGGGGTGAATGCTGGGAAAGTCGGACAGGTACGTAGCAGCCCCCCACCCAATCTCGACTCGAGGAAACAAAACAAAGCAAGATTCCCAGATCTGACGCCACGCTAGCCAGGGTGGATGTAGACGTTGCACGAGCGCGGAAAAAGGAAAGACAACGCGGCGGTCAATGCAACAATGGAATTGACGAGTAACTGCAGGGTCGGCGATTTGTTTACGCCCCCATACAAATCACAATAGAGTCGCAACAAAGGCGGTCGAGGGGTCAACCAGAAAAGGGACTGGAGAAGGCGGTGGTGTTTTGGGTCGCAGGAAGGCGCCCGCGTGCACGAGGTCCAATCGATCCTCATGTCCAGTCGCCCGCGCCGCATGGAGGGGCAGCGACGGCTATACCGAATACACGGGCAGCTTTGCGCAGTGTGCTGCACTGACCCGTACGCGGAGAGTAACAATTGATTGGACACAATCTAATACGTAGCTTCCATCGTCTCACGATACATACTAGAAGGCTTGCAACGCTTTGGTTCACTGATCACAACAAAGGCCATCGTCATCACAACTGAAGCTCAGGTACGGAGTACTCCGTACCTATGAAGTCACTTCTCGGCTTTGGCTTCGACCAAATGCGGCTTAGCGCAACGCCTCGAGACAGACGTGCAAGGAGACCACTCACTCCCTCCCTAAGGTACCTTTCATCACAAGTCTTTCGTGACAAATAGACAAGAAAAAAATGGTATTTACTCCTGCCGGTCTATCAGAACCGAAGCAATGCCCTCAACTCCAAATGTCTGATACCTAAATAGTCTGCCGAAAACCTGACCTGCGTGGGCGACCTAAGGTATGCAGAGATGGGTCTTGATCTCCCTAGGACTGTTGTCTAATTACTCCTCAATGAACTCGATCATGACTGTCCCTTGTTTCAAGCCTTGATCCACAATCGTAGCATCCAGGTTCTCAATGAGATCCTGTCCCTGTGGCATCTTCTTCAATTCAAACTCGACACCCTCCTTGCCCTCCAAAGGCTCAGCCTTCAGCCACTCGTAGATCCGGCGCACTGGATCATTGAGATTGAAGCGACGAATCACACGACCAGTAGGATGACGGAACTGGATGCGAGTAGTGGTCGCTGGATCGTTGTCTGGCTCTGTGTGTGGATTCGAACTCGAAATCTTGGAGAATGTGCTCTCCGCTGCCGCTGGCTCCGGCTCTGGCTCTGGCACCTTTGCTGCGCTCGTGCTAGCTGACCCAGACTGTCTGGTGAGAGAGTCTGGATCGTAGATGTTGGCTGTCGAAGAAGAACCACTACTGTTTGCAGCACCAGCCATGCTGTTCTTCAGCGCCATCTCCAACATCTCGTCCTCCGTCATGCGGTCGACGTCGATGGGCTGTGGTTTCTTGGCTTCTGCGTGGGTGACTGGGTTCTTGCTGTTCGCTGCCAAGCTGTAACGGTCCAGAAACTCGGCGACCTCGGCGTGGAAAGTAGCAGCTGATGGGAAGGGCCTCCCGCTCCAGACCTTAACCTGCTCGCCTGTTCGAGGATCGATAATGGATACATGTGGGTAGTTGTCGGGGTTCTCGTGGGTTCGCCCTGGAAAGTAGAAATTGATGTACTCGCCGGCATCGTGAAAGTCCTTGTCGTACTGCAAGAACAGGAAATGATCCTTGATGAGCTCCTTGACCGCTTCGTCTTTCCAGATATCTCGGTTGAGCGCCTGGCAGTTGAAGTCGCTCATGTCTTGCAGGTTCACCATGATCCAGCGCTTGTCCTCCTTGCCCAACGCGCGAACATCGTCCCATGCCAAGTCGCGCTCCATGATATCATACGGTGGTCGGAAAAGGTCCGCAAGACGGCGCGTGTGGGTGCTGCCTTCGCCATCACCACCTCGCACAGGCTCCGTATCGTCCCAGATCCGCTGTCCAAAGGGCCCTCCGGAGCGACCTAGCTCTTGTTAGTTCCGTCCTTCCCTCAGGCTTCTGAGCCCTTACCAGGAGCAGCCCGTCTGCGACGTATTTGCTCGAGAAACGCCGCGTGGGCACCGCCGTCATCCTCCTCGTCTGCCCATGCCGGGTTGGGTGCAATAAGTGTCTCGGTCGTCCGGCCTATCGGCGCCCGAACGCCATCCTCGCCCATGCCATCTGCTCCTCCAGACTGGCCGCCACCTTCACCGTAAAGTTCGTTCTGTAATCGTCTGGCCATTGCCGCATCCTCGTCTTCTTGTGCCATGGCAGCCGCCCGTTGCGCCGCTGCTTGACCGTCATCCTGGTCGCTTTCATCGTCTACTTGCATTATATCGTCGTCATCGCTGTCGATCTGAATGATCTCACGGGACCCTTCTCGTGTTGTTGTAGTCCCACTGGTGGCTGCGGGTCGACTTGGGACGCTGGTCTGCACGTTGGAGGCAAGCTCGGGGTTTTCGAAGAACAGCTCGATAGCTCGTGAGACATCGTTGTTCGATAAGTTGAGGAATCCCTGCGCCACTTCTGTGCTTGCGCCAGTGATGCCACAGAACATGGATATGGATTCTTGCTCCATCACGGCGAGCTGGTGTCGGATCGCGGCGGAGGGGTAACGATGCGTGTGAAGATCAGTGGTGCAGGTCGCTCCGACAGCACTGAAGCCGAAAGTCCTCTCTCGTGTCTAGTCTGCGGCGACGGACTTGGGCGGAGTGAAGGTTGAGGAGACCCTGAACTCAGATGGAGACCAACAAGATTGCCCCGCTGTTCGCTTTCAAGTTGAAAGTATTTGGGGGTGTCCGTCCAGCGCAGTCGAATGGCAATTTCGTTTCATATAAAGCAAACGCGTATCACCCTGTCCAAAATGGACTTGTTCCTTGTCTGATATCGTGATATTTGGGTACCTTAGAAGGGAAGATGAGGGCGACTGAAGCTTGAGCATGCGAGCAAGCAAATGTTGATGGAGCTAGGCAGGGCCGGCAGGCAGGCCCGGTGACGTCGCTGTGCGGTACACGCGATTCTTGGCCTACCCTGCAGTACGAATGACCAGTCGAAGGGACGATACGTTTGCGGTGATGTATGTGCAGCGATAGGATCATGCTCACCTTCTTATCAACGGGAGATTTGGCTGCATCTTTTCATATTCTATCAAACTCTGCTTCAAACTAAAATAGTGAACGTCTCTGTGCTTTGATGGTGAAAATATTCGCTTGACACATTTCTATGTTCAAAGTGGTACCACAAGACCTACATTACAACCGAGTCAGCAAGCACAGGTCTTTGTAGGTGAACATATCGATGATTGAGTAAGTTTATCCTTGCCAGTTACTTAATCGCTTTGCTTTTTAGTTTCAATCATACAATCTTGCAGACGACGCTCCGATCTCACGTGTTTACGTGCACGGCGCGCCATTCCCACACGTGCCGGCTTAGTCACCCCAGCACGCTCATGCAACGTCACCGGATTGCTGGCTGATGAAGGCGAACACCAGAACTATACTCGACCATGCCATCTTTCCTAATCTCATGTTGATCTCCCTCTCACTAGCTTCAAACAATGGCGGAGTCTACGGCGCAGCGCGAGCTGCAGCTCGTGGAAAGCGTTGAGTTCAAAATCCTTGCAGTCGCCAACAAAGAGCAGAAGCTCCACGAACTGCTCCAGCGATATTTACCGCCCGTCATACTCAAGGCAACAAGTGAGCATGATACAGTCAGAGCCAGAGTGATACAGATCCTGGGGCGCCTCAAGACGTTCATTCAGCCTCCTCAGATTATCCTGCCGGTGAAAGCACTTGTGCAACAATACAAGTCGCAGGGATCTCTCGTCGTCAAACATCTGGATTTGTCATTCATAGAGCACAGTATCGAGCGTCTAGACGACTATGAGCGGCGTGAGATACTGCCTGTAGCGCTGCCCGGAATTTCACAAGACATCGATACCCCGCGTGCTGGTCCGTTCTTCCTTATAGTCCTACGTCTCCTCCTCGACGCACAAATACCTCCCCGCGGAAGCAAGGACGATGAGGCGTTTCGCAAAAACGTCGGACTCGACGACCCTAAGGATGCTCATCATGTCGCACATATGATTGGGCTTTTTATCCGCCTAAGAACCCCAACAACTTCTCAGGATTGGACGCAGGCGAACCCTAACTGGGAGGCACGCAGCCTTGACCTTTTTGCCGTACAAAATTGGTCTTCACTCAAAATCTACCAGAGGCTGTCGGAGCTCAAAGCTAAGCTTGTGGCACTGTTGGCTAGTGGTGCGTTCACAGATGAGGAGAAGTTCTTTCCGGCACTGTTGGCAGCTTCGAGCTTTGATAACCGTGTTGCATCCGCAGCGGAGGAAATCATCAAACGCACTTCTGTCTCGTTGGAAGATGAAGCCTTGGTGACCAAACTCTTTGAGGCCCACGCCACACTCCCGGCAGCATACCGAACCCGAATCCTGAACATGCTAGCAAAGTCATCGATCTCTACGACCATGTCTAATCGGATAATGGACATCGTGAACCTTGATTTCATGTCAGACGATGCTGCTGGTGCTCAGGTATCCCTTCAGCCTTCTAGCGCACTCGAAAAGACCAAGCTGCACAAGGCTCTTTTCCAGTATTTGACCTGGGTGGCTCGGATGGGACCGTCGAAAGACGACTTCACCATTGCGCCCCAACTCATACACAAAATGACTGCCTACGTCAACAGTCAGGGTTGGCCATCGCCCGACAATATTAGCAACGACCAGGTCCAGCTGCGGTCTAGGGCTTACGAAACTATTGGCATGCTTTCTCGCAGTGCCGATATGCCTGTGCAAGAACGATTGCAACTTGCACAATGGCTATTCGATTCGCTATTGAAGGATCCTACACAGGAAGCTGTCGTCAATATTGACGGTGCTCTCTCGACCTTGACCGCGAACGTGCCGCCTGAAGTTGGCGACAAGAGCGAGTACTTGCAGACCATGTTGCTATCGTATATGCTGTGGGACGAAGACTATCCCATGGACGCAAAGAATTTCCCAGAGTACATGAGCAAAAAGGGCCCTCCTATCGTGCGAAGCACGCGTCATGCCGTGGTCAAATGGGCCAACCAGTGCTTATCATTCTCCAGCGTGCTAGGTCGGTGGATAGATATCCTCGCGATTGGCATGGGGTCAGCACAGGGTCAGGGGAACAAGAACGACGTTGTCGAGCAGGGTCACAAAGGCCTTGATCCCTGGACTTACCGTGTCAACAACGATGCAACACCTGACCTGCCTGACTGGAAAGAAATGGTTGTCATGTACTTTGGGACGCGCATCACACCCGCGAGCTTCAGCCAGCCCGGGTCTTTGGAAGAGGTCAATGACACTCCGGAGTCATTGCATCGCAACTTCAATGGGCCATATCTCACTGCAGTGCCCGTCGCCTTGCAATACATCAAGCGCATGATGTTCTTGTCGGCTTTGGGGTCCGATTTCCAACTCGAACCGAATTGGATGGAAAAGCTTGACTCCCAGATTGAGACAAGCGTGTCTATTCGCGAGAAGATCAGAAAGTACCTAAAGAACCCTGACATTGACAACGGATTCTGGCTCTTGTACCTGAATGCTTGTCTGTCTGGCGCCCTGGAAAAGGACAGCCAGATTGTCGAACCATGCTTGCGCTGTTTCATTGACGTGGCCTCTCTGGCTTCTGGCGGCGGCCTGGGCTACCTCGCGAGCAAGGCCGAAGGTCTAATATCCCTTGTCACCTCGAACAGAAAGGAGGTTAGGCACTTGGCCGCGCAAGCTTTCGGCATGCTAGCTGCACACCCAATCAACGACGAGAAGCTCGTGACAGATTGGAAATCGAAGTTGCAACAGATCTTCGCCGGCGCAGAGAAGGCCGTTGGCTCGGATGTGAACGCAGCGGAAGGTGCTCTTATGGCCTTTGGGTACCTCTGTTCACGTTCAGTGTACTACGATCGTCCGCGTACACAGGACATTACCTATCCCACGAACTTTCTTATTAGTGAGACCGGCCCAAGCTCGCTACACGAAGCTGCGTTGGAAATGTTTCCTCAACTATGGGCTGCCGGGCTGGCACTGCCGCCAAATGAGGGCGATGCAGATATTAGCAAGGTAATGGGCAGGCTCACAGCTCAGGCGAAGAAAGGCATTGAAAAGGCCATATTCGCTCTTGGCAGGTTGGCCATCAGCTTAGAAGACAGCAACGATCAACCGGCCACGGACGGCAACCTCCTCGCCGAAGGCAAACTTGGATCCATTCTCAAAGAACTGTTTGCCCTCCACGAACTCAAGCGCACCGAAGTTCAGTTCTCCGTTGGCGATGCAATCTGTGCGGCGGTTGCTCGTTGGGATTCGAACAGTGTCAAGCTCGGCCTCGATGTTGACGCCCGGAACGAGGACTTTCAGACAGGCATTCGCACAGACGTGGCAAAGGCAGTATTGGACAAGCTCTTCGCTGACTGCAAAACTACCAAGCCTTCCCTGTTGAAAGCATCCGGTATCTGGTTATTCTGTATCGTGCAGTACTGCTCTGATCTGCCTGAGATCCAGTCGCGGCTGCGAGAAGCGCAAACCGCCTTCATGCGTCTGCTCAGTGCCCGGGATGAGCTCGTCCAGGAAACAGCTTCGCGTGGACTCTCGCTTGTGTATGAGCGTGGAGATGCCGATCTCAAAAGTACTCTGACCAAGGACCTTGTGTCAGCGTTCACAGGCAGCGGAACGCAGCTCAAGGTTGAAGAGGACACGGAATTGTTCGAGGCTGGAGCCCTGCCAACGGGGGAGGGAAAGTCTATCACATCATACAAGGACATCGTCAATCTGGCCAACGAGGTGGGCGATCAACGATTGGTGTACAAGTTCATGTCTCTGGCTGCCAATGCGGCAACATGGACGACACGTTCAGCATTTGGTCGCTTCGGATTGTCCAACATCTTGTCCGAGTCAGAAGTCGACCCCAAACTGTATCCGAAGTTGTATCGATACCGCTTTGACCCGAATCCAAACGTGCAGCGATCCATGGACGACATCTGGAAGGCTCTTGTCAAGGACTCTGGGTCTGCGCTAGATGACCACTTTGATGCTATACTCCAGGACTTGTTGCAGAGCATTCTTGGCAAGGAGTGGCGAGTTCGCCAAGCGAGTTGCGCGGCGATTTCCGATTTGCTTCAAGGCAGGCCCTTCGCACAATACGAGGCACACTATCAGGAAGTTTGGGCCAAGGCGCTCAAAGTGCTTGACGATGTGAAAGGTAGCGTGCGTGAGGCAGCATTGAAGTTGTGCATGGCCTTGTCAACTGGCCTTGTGCGCCAACTCGAAGAGAACAATTCGAGTGCCGCCGCAAAGGCGATGATGAACGAAGCATTGCCATTCTTGACCTCCGAGAAGGGCATGGAGAGCTCAGTAGACGACGTCCGGGTCTTCGCCACAATCACGGTGATGAAGATTGCTAAGCGTGGAGGCGACGCCCTCCGGCCATTCATCCCAGACATGGTGCCGCAATTGCTCGGCCTGCTGAGCACGATTGAGCCAGAGCAAATCAACTACCACTATCAGCGCGCGGGCGACGACAGCCGGGACAAGATCGATAGGCTGAGGTCACAGATGGTTAACCAGTCTCCCATTTCGGAGGCGATCGAGAACTGCCTGCGCTTTGTGGATGAGGACGTCATGACATCGTTGGCACCCAAGCTGACAGCGACCATCAAAACTGCCATAGGCATGCCGACCAAGATTGGTTGCAGCAGAGTTCTGACAACTTTGTTCACCCGCCACGCAGCTGACATTGAGCCCTTCTCTGCCGAGCTATTGAAGCTCATGGAGAAGCAGATTCTTGATAAGAATGACGAAGTTAGCCAAGCATACGCAAGGGCAGCTGCGTACATTATGCGCGTTGTGTCCGATGCTGACAAGTCGCGCTTCAGCCGGCGGCTCGTTGAAATGTACGTACAAGCAGAGGAAGAGTCCCGTCGTCAGAAGA